CTTCGGCTAAATACGCCGCTGCCCTACCACTTCGTAGGTCCTCTACCAGGTCGTAATTTTTGTGCAGTATTTTTTAAATTTCTTTGATCGAGAAGCTCTAAATTGTATTCTAATTTTTCTAATTGAAAGAAGTAACTTGGTCAATTGACCACTAAAACGTAAATTAGAATACAATTTAGAGCTTCTCGATCAAAGAAATTTAAAAAATACTGCACAAAAATTACATGAAACTTATTTAAGGAAGAAATGAAAGCACTTCGACCTCAGCCATATCGGAACACTTTACATTATACGGACTATTAAATTGTAAAGTCAAATGTGCGAGCTTGGTAAACGAAAGTGTTGTTTGCCGGTTTTGAACCATGAAAATTGGAATTCTAGCCGTAGAAAGGGAGGCATTTTTTTTTATTTTAAACAACAATTGTGGCTGGAGTTTCACATTTTCATAGTTTCTCGTTTCATCACAAACTCAATAAAGGGTGGGCATAATACAAGGTAACAAGAACTGTGCGGTTTTTCGTTTGTTATTGTTTTAATACCATTAATCAACATTTGTATTATGAGTCAGTTCATAAAGAAAATTTTTTTTCTCATGGCTTCAAAACCGATATTTAGTGCGTGCTTATTGTATAAATTTAAGCTCGGCATTAGGGTGTCCGAACGTTCAAAAGCTGACTGTTCCTGTTTCACACAATAACAACAACTATAGCTTTCGATGTAATTGTAAGTTGTAAAAATAAACATGAAATTTGTAGATTTAGATACTTCTTGAACTTTTTATTTTATATCTCCGGTTCTGATTTATTTACGGAGGTCAAGGACATGATATAATTTTGAGGGTCTTGAATATACGTAAAGTTTTCGGTAGATCGGTTGAGCCATTTCATACTATCGGCTTTTATGCTATTTTGGAAAAAGAAATAAAACGGCAGGAAGGGAAAAATTTGAACGAAAAAAATGATTTTTTATTATCCCAAAGATTTAGACTTAGGGGTTATTGGGGTTTACTATATACAAAAATATGTTAACCTACTTTCCTCGGTCACTCGGTCCCTAAGTCAAAATTGTATTTGGCACCTAAAAAGAATACAAAGCGGATATTTTTGGACCTCTATCCCTGAATACAAATTTCTAGATAAATCAAAATTTTAAACTTGTTTTAGTGATACCAAGTAGAAACATATTAAACTCGTGCTCAAGCGTTTTTTCCAACGCATCCAAGGAACTCATAATTTATTTTGAAACACATTTCACAACATAAATTTCTGCCTTTTATGCATGTATTTCAAGGTTAATATTTATCAGTTATAACAACAAACTATGGGGGCGTCGGTGGCCGCAACGGTTTAGGCGTTGACACGGCGCTCATCACTGTAAGGTAAAGGTCCCGGGTACGAATCCAGCGGCCCTGCATTCGAACCCGTCATACTTACAAATGGGCTTTTTGTCAAATACACCGGCACTCCGAGGGTTGATATAATTTCTGCTGTTGCGAACAAAAAACGAAAAAAAAAAAATCCAGCTGAAAACCAGTCAAATCAGATTTGTATCCACTTTGATTTTTATTGATACAAATCACTTCTGTTGTGTGACCCATTGTTGTTTATGGTTTTATTTTTTGGTATTTTTTCCTTTTGGATATCAAAGTTGATAGTTTTAATTTTGACCTTCAGGTCCATATTATTAATACTCATAGTATTTAATTATTGTTATCTTGTAAGCGAAATTTTTTAAAATATTTTTTTATATAACTAACTAGATTTCTTAAGGAAATATATTTTTTATTTTTAAAGAAACAATCTAGGTGTCCCTCTGCATTTGTGTTAGTAAATTATTCATAAAATAAGAGTCCTTTGATTTTGAGGTAGATGACCAGCCACAAGGGGCATTATCAAACCTTGTAAGACGGAATATATCATTCCTTGAAAAGACCCCTGATACAGTCGATTATTTTTTACCTACAATGAGAAAATAATATTCAGGATTATTGGATAGTAATGAGATTAGATGGATCGAAAATGAAAAAAACGAAAAAACACTGTCGGTTAAGTGAGCCAAAAATGGATCGTTTTAGTAAAGGACCCTATAAAAACAATATTTTAAATAGTTTAAAAAAAGTTTTTTACTAAATTGACTAGTTTCCTGGTCCGCTTGACCAATTAATATCTTTCAATTAATTAAGGTTTTTAGTTGATATAAAAAAGTCAGTGTCACAAGCGGGATTCGAGCCCACGACCTTCGGCTAGATACGCCGCTACTAAATTCAAAAGGTGGGGTTGAGATGGGAGGTTAGTGCTCGAGTGGATTGAAGTCACGATAGTTGAAGTGGTAGAGTAGCTTATCTAGGCGAAGGTCGTGGGTTCGAATCCCGCTCGTGACACTGACTCTTTTTTTTTATCTCAACTAAAAACCTTAATTATTTGAAAGTTGATTACTTTTTCGATGTACATGTATTTCAATCTTATTTATATATGCTAGTCGATTTAATTTTTTTAACCCAGGATGGGAAAATCAAATGGCGGATCTTATTAAATATGATTCAACTTATAAAAATTAACAAAAGCCCAAATTGTATGTTTCTATGAAGTGTCCAGTAGATCGGTGGATTCGTTTGGAATGTGCCTGGATTTTTGAGATTTCCAAAAATAGTCGGACGCATTTGGATGGCGAAAACATTCAGAAAAACAAAAATTATATTTTTACTTTTCCAACCATACAATTCGGTGGGGCTTTCGGAAATGCAAAAAATGAATATAAACTTCGTTTCTAACTAAAATAAAAATATTTTAAGTTACTTTGTTTAGTTACTTGTAGATCACTATGTCAAAATTGTATGTAACAGGTAACAAATAGGCTAAACAATTTTTTAGAAAAAATAAACTTGATATTCGTTTATCATACCTTGATTACAAATTTTATGGAAAAAATTCTAAAAATTTTCGCCATCCGAATTGCTCTGATTTTTTCAAAAATCACAAAATTGAAGAAAACTTTAAAACAATTCAACCGATCTTCAAGAAGCTTTAGAGGTTTGGAACCTAATAACCTCCACGTAGTGGAACAAAAGTCACCTCTTTAAATAAATTACAACCGGAGATGAAAATAAAACGTTTGCATAATTGATTAAGTGATTAAGATTAAGTAATTTAAAAGAATTTATTTGGCCAATCGGACCACGAAACCTAATCGATGTTTAGATTATGTTGAAGTTGGATAGAATTCAGAGGGATTGTGCAATTTTAAGTGGAACATCGATCGGAGAGAAAAAAAATTGCCCCGTTGAATCCAGTTAAAAATGCCTATTTTTCGATTGCGATGAAATTGAGTATTTAATGTTAATACAGAGTGGTAAAAACGAATCCGAATTGGTTTTTTTGAAAAACAATTTTCGTACCTACTTACTCGAAGCACCCTTGGTAACTTGTTATATTATGCTTACATTCTTTTAATTGATTGTCAAACCATTCGCTATCTATCTAGCTATCTATTAATTCTGTCCTGTGAACAACAATTTTTCCTGACATTTGGAAAATGTCCATTATAATTCTTTTTCATAAACCAACCAAATCTGTCAATCTTCTTTCATTCTACTGCCCTGTCAGTCTACTTCCTGTAATGAGTAAAACTCTCGAGAAACTCCTATCAAAAATCAATGAACCCCGGGTCACCAATTTGGATTTAGGTTCTTATTCTCTACAATCCATCAATGTCGCGCTGTGGTCGTCATTTCATCTTCTCTTGGGCAGAAGCAGTCCGGGTGTGTTCCTTTACACTGCTCATGCCTTTGACAGGGTTCAGCACCCTGGTATTCTGTGGAAGATGAAGTGCATCCTACCCAATATCATACTAGTCGCCCAAACTTCCTCTTAACTAAAAAATATACATCAACATTCTCAAATCTATGTGAACTTGTGGTATCGAACTCCGTGGTCAACCAAGCATTCCAACTCCCAACTCCAAACATAGCAATCAAAGTCGTAAGAAAAATTGTTCACCTTTCTTTTTATGTATAAAACTTCACCTTACACGAAGTCCTTATTATTCCCTTTGTTCCAGAAGTACAGCAATAGAGTAAACCTTTTACACAAAAACTCTACCAATCCTTTCCACATGTCTCAATTTACGTGTCAACGAGAAGTTACCGCTATGCGGTTTCCCTACGTACCATATGCCAAAACATTTACAGCCTTGTTATTATTATCTTCCGTTTGAAACTTTCAAGCCAAGTTTCAGAAGTAATTTGGAATGCAATAATCCGTTTATTCTGTTCCACAATGGAACTGTTCAATTTTGCGTCTTGATAATATTTTGCAAGTGAGAACGATTAAGGTTTTTGATGTATGGACGTGAGTTAGTAAACTTTCTGTTAGGAGGGTTTAATCTAATTTCAAAACAATGAAATACGTAATAACAGAAAGTTTAGTAAGAGGCCAATTGTAGATTTGCAGGTCAGAAGACGAAATGCGCAAACTATCGATTTGTTATGAAACAATAAAACACTTCTAAAATTAGCCGTATAATGATTTTTCCATAAAGAGTTGCTTTGGTAATTAAAAAAAGTGTCAGGAATTGTTGGTCGTTAATAAATTTGATCAATCTGGATTCATGATTCTTCTTCACCTGATTATGCTGACAGGCTTTGGATTTGTTTATTTATATCTGAGTGTACGTGCAAGGTAGATTTTATCGCACGTTGAGGCTAAAAGGGCAATTTGGGACTCGATAAATAATTGTGTTTCATGTGTGAATGGTTAAAGAAGGTGCACTAGGCATGTACGGGGCAGACGGCCCTGGCAGAATCAAAAAGTGAAACGGTCAAAATAAACCGGCCATAACCATAAACGGTTGAAGGCTAAGGACATTGGAAGTGAATCGATGCCCGACTTAAACCTGTCATTACCATAAAAAGTGTCCAAAATGGGTAAATGGGGAAAAAGGGACTGCAGACGTAAACATATGTTGTGCGAGGGTGGGTCTCGGCCCGATAATGTTGTCCTTACCTGACGACTGTGTCCCCAGGGCGTTCTCGCTCGGGGCGGGGGCTCTGCCCCTGTCACCGCCAGGAATCCTGTCTGGCCCTTTGAAATCGGGGCCTCTGCAGACGGGTACGGGATCCGGGACGTCTTCTCTTCTGGGGTCTAGCGCCCCTTCTGACCACCCGGACCAACTAACTCCTCCTGTGACGTCACAGAGACATTATTGATCCGGTAAACTACTTGTTGATGTGAACGCCCACGTTTCCCGACTCCCAGCCTGGCAAATAGTGAACTGATGTAAAAAATGCGAGACAGGTCGAAGTGTCTTCATATTGCAGCGGCCTAGTTCGAGGGTCGATTGCCCATCAACCAAACTCATACTCATGACCTCGGTCAAAACAGATCTCCCGATTTTTCTCCAAGTCGATCCGCTATAAAACACCACCTGTAATTCCAGCTCCAGAAAATGTATAACAAACTTTCTCGACCACTTTATGAATAAGTACAACTAACGAAAGCCGCTATTAAAAACATATTAACGGACATAAAGATGTCGAAATATCAGATAATTTGTTTTCAGAGTTCAAGTTCAGATGCCAGCACCTTACCCTTCACTGCATTGAAAGACCTGCCTTTAACCAAGCAACAGGGTGGATTATTGCAATCACTTGTCATTTCTGAACGGCTTGTCATTAAATTTGATCCCAAGCTAATTATAAATATCGAAATTAATAAAGAGTTTTCTACATGCAGATACAAACCACTAGTATAATTAACAGTCCTCTCGACCTAGCCCTGTTTAAGGTCGACAACCGCCTTATCTAAGCAATCATTTGCAAGTGCTTTCAATCACGCTATTAAAACAGTTTTTACTTAGCTAATAGGATTTCTTCGTCGCAGATTCAACCTACCGATTCAATAGTTGATCAAAAGAAAGATCGCTAAAGACATCTAAAGCCAATCAGCCTGGTATAGTTAGATTATGTTCTAAGCACTGCATTCGTCAAATTGTACTGTTATATTCTTCCTCATAACTTTAATTAGCCTGCAGAAACTTGATACTGGCTCCTCAGTTTTACGTGGCCCATGTGCAAATGAAAGCTCTTTACAGAACCTGCATGGGGGATATCCTCATCATGTTCGTTTGATTTGTTAACTTGTGATCATTTTCTCTACTCCTATTTTTACCAGTTTACTCACGCAGTTTTGTGCTGTACGTGATCTTGCTTTCATTTGGGCGAGTGCTTTTAGTTCAGTTTGACGTTCAGAGTAAATGGCTATTGTTTTGTCTTCTATTCTCAACATTTTAATCCCACCTGAGGTAGTTAAATGTTGTAAAATGGCTCCAATATCAAGACTCTTGGCAATGTTACATTAAATGCTGCTCTCATTTTTGATATTTATAATTTACGTCACTTACGCATGGTATAACACTATTTGAAATGTTAATTGTTCAACATAAAAGTCATAAATGAGAAAAAGTTTAGCTTAAAAATAGGATCCTGGAATAACATAAAAAAGTATCCAATTTTTTTAAATTAATCAAATAAATATTTATTTTTACATCTACATTAAAAACTAGTCGTAACAGGCAGTTCAGTATATACAACAGTTCAGAATTGCCAGAATTGTTACAGTGGTTGGTTTTGATGAGCCGTTCGCCTGGCGAAGGCGAAAGGCGAGGCGTAGTCTGCTATTTGGTGGTCGTGGTGGTCGTACAAATGGGGCGGTTCTGCTGCGTACGCCGAAGGCTTCATAACGATGTCGTACTGCGTTATGCGACCGCCGGGTGCTCCGAAGATTCCGCCGCCGCCACCGCGTAGGGCGGCCAAGCCGGACATCATTATCGCGAAGATGGAAATCATAAGCGCTTTGCCGGATAACGCGGCGATCAAAGCGAAGCTCACCAACGCCACGGAGAAGATGGAGTACCAGTTGGCCTTCTTACCTCTTCCTGTCAACAGATCAAACAGAACTTCCATAGAGGTTAATTTGTTGCGGTGGTTGTCCAAGAACAATGTTCTTAATTGTCACATCAGTCCTGACGTCCCCAAATATAAACAGTTTGTGTTGCTCGCCGTCGTGCAGGTCATCAGAACTAGCTTTAATAGCTCATATTATTTGTTTCTTCAATTCATTACTATCAGGTAATTAAGTAATTTACAGAATCATTGAAGCAGCTTGGGAAATGTGTAAACCTATCCTGGTGCAACATTGCTTGAAAGAATTTAAAAGATAAGTCCTTGGTAAAGAAGAAGGGCTCAAGGCGACCTGTAAAATTCTATAACAGCCTAAAGCATCAAATTCATTCAGATGGACTCGTAAACCAAAAAATGTGGACTGTCGAGGAACACTGTAAGACAACATATACAACACCAAGGGACAGTAGACTGGTCCAACATGAAGCAATCCGCTGAGAGAGTAAAAATGTACGGACGTCAATTAATGGATGAGGCTCTACAACATGCTGTAGGATCAAATCAAACCAACTGCACTCACTTACTTGCTATGGAGTGTGGCTAGTCGTAAGCCACTATTTGTCATCGTGTGAACAACAGGTGTACAGATACCTGGTGACGAATATCAATGAATATTGTAGAGGTTTTAAAGCAAGCTATAGGATAAAATCAAGCCAAAATTACCTACTTGTCAGGCGTAGTGTCGAAGAAACACGTAAATCAACATCTACACGGCATGGGAAACGTAATGAGCAGTAGACTGCCCACTATGAAGAAGACTACTGACAGATTAGAAATAAATAATGGCTAATAAATAAACCAATGGATACATATATCTGGAAAGGGTTTAGAACAACTAGCAATGAATATTGAAGAAATTCTACAACCAAATTGAAGCCAAAGTACTCAAGTACTTGCCAGGCAGTCCGAAGAAAACCACAGTAAGTCATTGTTTACATGACATGGGAAAAGTTGTAAAGAGAAGTGTCCACTATGAAGCAATCCAAGAAAAGGGTAGAAAAACTTGCAAAAATCTTTTTTTTTTAATTTGTGCTGTGGGAATTTACCGAAAGAATGTCATTGTGTGACCCTGGTAAATGGACAGATGAAGGTCAACGGCTCCTCCAGTCTCTGCATATTGTACTCCCAGAAATTTCTTCATCTTCCCAGAGTAAAACCACAAAACGTTTATTCCTTATATGAGGAGATTCGGATCAGTTGCTGTTCCATCGCCAAGAAACCGGCAGCGTAATTTCGACGAGGAGCTGAATATTTTACTGTATGTTCGCGAATATCCTCGTAAATCGAAAAATTCCTTTCACCGAAATGTTGGAAGGGTTTTTGGTTTTCAAAAAATAAAATTAGAGATGTACTGCGTACTTAAGATTTTAAGCCGTATCGCTTTCATCTGGTCCAGGGACTTCGGAACTCTCATTATGACAGTATAACGTTCCTTGCACAAATGTCGATTTGGGAGGCACAAGAAAACGTTCTTCCGTACATCCTATTGCCTGATGAATCCAAATTCACCTCTAATGGCATAATTCGAATTTTCGAACGTGGTGAGAAGAAAATCCGTGAATTTCGTACTCTTATCATCATCAGGTGGTTCACAATATCAACGTTTGTGTGGAAATAAAAATAAATGAATTAATTAATTGGGCCTATAATTTAAATGGTGATCAACCCCTCAATTTTTGGGGGAGGTATTACCAAGACAATTAGATGACGTTCCTCAGCATCAACGACTGACTCTTCAGTTTGATGGATGCCCCCGCACACAAATGAGACGTTATTTGAATCGTCACTTCCGGGATAGGTGGATATGACCTCATGGCTCGATCTTTTGGCTTCCTCGGACACCCGATTTAGCTCCAGTTGACTATTTTCTATGGGGCCATTTAAAAAACAATGTCTGCACAAATCATAACTCAGCCACTCGGTTGAAGAACTGCGGCAAAATATAGAAAATGCTTTTCAATCCATCTTCCCTGACTCTATTGCTCTGAGTACCGGTTAAAAAGGGTAAGTTGCATCTTTACGCAAGGCAGGCAGGTCGAAAATGAAATGTGATTAATAAATAGCAAACCAAATGACTTTGCCATAACTTTGTCATTTTTTTGACCAATTTAAAATCCAATTGCAACATTGTTGTCAGCTTAAAAACCCTGTAAAACGACGTATCAGGATGTATAGGGTCGTATTTGAAATTTTTGAATGGAATACTGAATGTAACGAATAGGCACTATTGAAAAATTTATTTACTTCCAGGAATTAAGATTTGATGTCACAATGCGAGTTGGACAAACAATGACACAATGTAAACAATAAAGGCATTTAATGTTTACTTTAGCGAAGAAACAAATTATTGGAATTAACAACGAAACAAAAGAAACGCGTTTTTTCAAACTTTGTCATTTTTTGACCAATTTAAAATCCGATTGCACCGTTGTTTTCAGCTTAAAAATCTTTTAAAATTATGTATCAGGATGTATTGAGTCGTATTTGAAATTTTGGTGTTGAACTTGGCCTGAGGTACCCTGTATAATTTTTTCTACAAAAAAGGTAAAAATTTGAAACTAAACCCAAAAATTTTTTTTTTTTTTGTCTGTCTTCTGTCACCCAGTCAAGAGGAAACCTCGCGTCCGTCAGATTAGTAATTGTTCGAACCATGGCCCACTTTGTTTAATGGTGAACAATTAAAATTTTTTCAGAACTGAAATTTGTAAGTGCGGGTTCGAGCAACCGGCTGAAAGATGACTAATAACAGTGGATCACAATGGGTTGTATTTTGAATAACATTTTAATTTAGAAGAAAAAATACAAATATAAATGAATGAATTGATCCTCGTGTCAAGAGGTAATTATAATTAATTTTAGAAAAAGAAATATGAATATCACCATAGGAAAGGGAGCAAAAAAGGCTGTACTGTGAAATTTAACGGGCAAGAGTAGTCGGAGGAATTTACTACTTACTAAAAGGGTTAACGAGCGTTTTGAATTACTAGCACAATTCGTGAGTGTTATTAAACTACCAGAGACTAATGGAAAAGTTCTCTCAGAAAAACGTCCCGGAAAAATAATTTCTAGTACAGAATTTTCACCTCTCTACAGATTTAGCTTGGCATCGAAAAGTTAAGAAAACCTCTGATACAGCGAAATCTGATTTATCGAAAGAACGTTTATAATGGTTCAGGAAGAACGGGGTTAATGCCTCACGGAAGGGAGGACAATAATCAGATCCGATGATACGGTTGTTCGCTTACGTTCCACCTAACCGTAACCAAAAGTCATTTAGACCAATAGGTCCTCGTGTCAACCTTGTTACACCCCGTTGAGCCTGCGTCATCCGTCAGAAAGACGGTTAGATTTTGATTCATTAGGTGTGAACCGTGTTCCATTTGGCAGTGATTCGTGACGGCTTGTCCAGATTGTGAAAATTGTTCCGAAAAATATTGATCTTTTTCCAGAAACAAACGCTACCTCCAGAACTAAGTGGTTCAGTGTCTTCTTCGATCTACCGACGGTTTGGCACAAATTTGTTCTGCCACTTTATTTATTTTATCTTTCTTATCGGCCCAAAGGAATAAAGAAAGAAATCGCGAAAAGAGTGGTTAATAAATAATACAATAGAAAAAGGAATCAGTTATGGCCTAAAATTTGATGATGTTGAGATTTTTACTAGTACGTCGCGATATCATTTCAAAACTTTGTTCTTTACTTTAAAGGAAAATGCAACAGCATTGTTATTTTTTTTCTTCTTCTCTTCTTCACCACTTCAGGGATTGGGCTTTCAGCTGCTCCGTCTTTACTACAACGGTGGTTGACGTGGCCTTCCTTTATCTCGGTGATAACTAGGCTACTAACTCGTCCGGATTCGTACATACGATTAGGTAAAGCCATACTTCTTTATATTCTTTGATTTGCTCCATCCACGAGTATATTTCCAACTACTCGTGGATGGCATCAAATCCGGTCCCTCAATGTACATCCCTTGACTATCTGTAAGAAATTTCATTTCTGCTGCAATAGCTTCCATATGTCTACACTGGGTTGCTATAACTTTTTTGTAAAAGCCCGGACCTTGTCCCATTCTTAGGAGGAGTAAGTAGCACTACCCAAGGAAAGTAAGCGTCCTGTTCCACTATATTTTCATTGCATTGGGTACCATCATAGGCAATTAACTAAATGTTGCTTAGGAGATTTGCAAGTCATATCCGGTAGAGAGCACGTTGCAAATCTTCAGTTGATGTATAAAGAACCATCACAAAATTTTGGGGAGAGTCATATGAAAGCTCATGGCTATAACGGTACCTCACCAATTGAGAAGAAAACTTTGAAATTTGACAGAACCTTCCAAGTGATCATAGATAAGAGATTTTAGGAAGAAAGGCTGCCTTCAGTTTCACTATGGGGGCCTAATATGGAACAGGGTAGGATCAAAAATGGAACCGAGAGTAGGTGTAGGGGTAAAAGGGTCGAATTATACCATAGTAAAATCCCTTCAACTAATCCCAGCAATGTTCCAAATTGAGGTTCATGCAATCTAACTCTGTGCACAGGAAAAACATAAAGAAAAATTCATTGATTTCGTGGTCCGATTGACCAAATAACATCTCTCAATTAATAATCTTTATGTAAGGTATTGGTTGAGATAAAACAGTCAGTGTCATGAGTGGGTTTCGAACCCACGACCTTCGGCTCAATGCGCCGCTGCTCTACCACTTGAGCTATCGTGACTTCCATCCATTCGGACACTAACTTCCCACCTCAACCCAACCTTTCGAATCTTCCCTCCTTTTCGCCATTTTTTAAATGTCCTGTAATCTATTTGATTCTCGGCGACAAATGAAATGGCCACGGAGAGCTTTAATGAAGATATACTTCATTTAACTTATTAAATTGATTAGATTTCGAGGTCCGATTGACCAAATAACATCTTTCAATTAAATAATCTTTATATAAGGTTTGGTTGAAATGAAAAAGCCAGTGTCACGAGCGGGATTCGAACAAAGACCTTCGGCTAAATACACCGCTGCTGTACCACTTGAGCTATCGTGACATCCATCCACTCGGACACCAAATCCCATCAATAAAGAAAAATGTTGAAGGAGCACGGATCATAAATGCAATAAATACATATGATTTTAACTCCAAACAAGTCTGGGAGACTTATAATTTAAAGTGGGTTCCTGGCTTTGAAGGTGTACAAGGAAATGACCAGACCGATCAAAAAGCCAAAAAGAGGCAGCCCAATCACCATGAAAACTAGGTGCAGAAGCACTAAAGGTGGAACTGAAAAAATGCTTGAGAAAGAAAAATTCAATTACTGGACGAAAGCAGATTTACTAATCTCTCAAAAAGGAAAGTTAGGTGTTCCTCTCTTTCAGCAGGCAGTATGTGAAGAAAATTATATTTTCGGTGTAAAGGTCATTGCCCTCATAACGACCATCTAAAGAAATTGGGTAAAGCAGAGACAGAAGCGAGGCAGGGCGGACCAAAATGACGGAAACGACAAAACTAGATCCATCACCCCGCAGATTTAAAACAATAGTCTTACACCATTTACATAGTTTATAATCTGGTATAGGCTTTAGCGGGAAAGGCTTTTTTTCTTCGACAATGTTGAAAAACGATGAGAAGAATGAGGTAGCAATGTGCTACTATAATTTACTTCTAATGCACAGTTAGAAATAGGAAAACTATTTAAAGTTAAGTTTTGACACATTCAATATCAATTAAGTATAAATCCTGCATGAGTTAGCATGAGAAATAATGCAAATATTGTATACATTATGTTAAAAATTTATGTTTCTCCCTCTCTGAAGGAAAATACGAAATAGATAAGAAAGTTAGTAAGGAATATTAGTAGACTAGTAACATGGGTGTACCTCTGGGATAGAGTCCAAGGATATAATTAAATTAAGCCCTTCTATTTACAATAAACGATTGAGTATTATGTTTATTCAGAAATCGTGAGATGCGTTCTGGTGTGATGTAGGTTTCAGAAAAACATTTTCTTTATCGTGCCAACGTTTCGATCTTTATTGAGATCATCTTCAGGGCTCAATAAAGATCGAAACTAATTGGTCAAGCGGACCACAAAAACTAGTGAATGAAAGATCGAAACGTTGGCACGATAAGAAAATGTTTTTCTAAAACCTACACCAGACCGCCTCTCACGATTCTGAATAATTATCGACAAACGGTCACTAATCACCAAACATTGTTATTTTTGTTTTATTGTACAACAAGAAAAATGACGGAAAGCTTCTAAAAAACATTCACCAAGCTGTATTCGTGTGCATTTTCGTCAAATTTAAGAAACTAAAATTATGTAAATCCTCAGTTATTGAAATGGACGTATTTAACTGCGTGATGAGTAGACTGTTGACAATTTTTTAAACAGAACACTATAAAATAGTAATTTTTTATTTGTTTAATTAAAAGTTTTACAAATAAGAGAGTGCTTCTTTAATAATATTTATTCAGGGGCATTGCGTTCTGAGTTGAGAAAACATTTAATCTGGCGAGGGCTTTATAAAGGGTTAAATCGAAGGGAAAACGAATCTGTCCTAAAACCACTGCTTCAGAGACCCAAAAAGAAAGAGAAACAATAATCGGATTGTAAACACTTTGAAGTAGAAACAATTATTTATTGACATGAATATTAGATGGCAATCCTGATAATACGGGAAGTACATGTCGGCGATTAATTCGGACAAAGGAATTCATGAATTCTGGAAGTAAGGCCGAATAAGGTGAAGTTGTGAGAGCACAAAACAGCAAACGAAACTAGTAAACAGCAGACTAATGGCTAATGTTGGAGACTTGTTATTGGTCAGGTACTCAATTCTGTTGTACTTTTACTAAATATTAACATGGAATACTTCAAAAGAATAACTACTGAACTCTCATGGTGGCAATCCAGAGTAATGGCTATGCGGGAGGCAAGCAAAGAAGACACCAAATATCGATCACCTACTCAATTCTGTTGTACTCTTACTAAATATTAACATGGAATACTTCAAAAGAATAACTACTGAACTCTCATGGTGGCAATCCAGAGCAATGGCTAATGCTGGAGGCAAGCAAAGAAAACGCCTAATGTCGATCACCTGCTTAACTCTCTTGTACGATTATCAAGAATGAGCTGGCGTCAAAAGTAGAGTTCTCAGAAAAGCGCCTATCTCACTGCATCCGAACCAGCAGTGCTATCGCACGAGTAACCTGATTTAATGGTTTATGATTTAATGCGCAAAGAAACTACTTTTATGAAAGGAAAGCAGAAGTAGGTTTAGATACTGTGATTTTGGTGGAACTGTTGATTGGATGACTAATGTAGCAGGATAATTTCGGTACCGAGCGAAGGGCCTCGTGCAGCTGATAGCAACATCAGTTCTATTAGCTACCCTTGCCTAGTGCTTGCCGTTTGCTCCATAAGTGTGTGGTAAGATTGCATTGACGAATCTGCTTTAGGCAGGTTGAGCTCCTGCTTATACACAAGAGTACTGCAAGCTCATTGGATGCCGCATGGGAAGCGGAACCCTTGTCGAAGGAGAGGCTACACCTAGTGGAACTATAATTAACCAAAGGCAGTCACCACAAGACTTCGAAACAGGAGCTAAGGGGCCATGAATGTTTAACATGGAACTCCGGCAAAAGAGGTGGACCAATGGCCACAAGAAAGACCCTACAAAAGTCTGGAGGTCTAAAGCCTTGCAAAATAAGACCTAATCTGGCGAATTAAAGTACAACAGAAACAACCTTCCTAAAAATAAGGCAATGTACAAAGGTTGGCAAATTACAGGGGTAATAACTACATCATCAGCTGCCTTGCGAACACTATTAAACCTGAATGTAGGGAAAGCCTTCAAGAAGAGTTCTGGCCCCTATCCCATCTGCATGAACAGACTCCAAAAAGAAAGAAATTGGGACGGGATTAAACATTTCGAGAATACAAGTCAGATACCCTATACACATCCAATAAAGTTTTAATGTATTACAAAGACTCCCCAGTACAGGAACCTGATAGGTAATGTAGACAAGCGCTAAATATGAGCAATGAAACACATTATATAAATTCACCTCGGTCTTTCAAGGAGCCATATATGCCTTAATGCTTGTTACACAGAAAATATTACAAGGGGTTCCACTGATTAAAAAAAATTGTACGATCAAACAGCCAAGCAGCCCTAAAAACAATAGCGTACAAAGGACATTCATATTAGTCGGTGAATGCATCCAAAACCTCCCAAACCTGAGAAAACTTCACAAATTGACAATACCTGGGACACAAAGGAAATTTTGGGTAATGAACATCCAGACATTGCCAGATCTGCAAGGTTAGGGGCCCAGAACATATACACAGAACACATACAATACAGAACACATACTCAACGATCTACGAATGGGTTCACAAAACCACCAGGGAAAAATGGGCGAACTCTAAAGCTGCCCAGGTTAAAGCACTATCACCAAAACTGACAAGCATATTTCGACAATATGACAGAGTGTGATTCAGGAGAGTGATGATGACCTATACCGGTCATCTGAGTAAACATCTTCACATTCATTAGATCTCGTGGTCCGATTGACCTAATAACATCTTTCAATTAATTAATCTTTATGTAAGGTATTGGTTGAGATAAAAAGGAGGGAAAATTCGAAAGGTTGGGTAGAGATGAAAAGTTGGTGTCCGAGTAGATCGAAGTCACGATAACTCAAGTGGTAGAGCAGCGGCATATTTAGCAGAAGGTCGTGGGTTCGAATCCCGCTCGCAACACTGACTTTTTTATCTCAACCAATACGTTACATAAAGATTAATTAATTGAAAGATAATCTTATTATTAGCTTATGCAATGGGGAAGAATGTACTGCCACCCATATTCCGAATGTGAAGCAACTTCTCAATACAAACATGACCTAGGGCTCCAAGAAGATCCTGGGAAAAGAATTGCGGCAATAGCAGTCGATGTCAAACTACTTCTGAAAAGAAAGATCGAGTGAATTGAATCTGAACTAAGGTAGTAGGAAAAACACAATAAGCCAAGAAAGATCATATGATCATCATCATCATCATATATGTTTGCCATGAATTACTGTAGATTATGAACCGTGGATAATCATGTGGCTTATCCATAAGGTTTTGAAGTTTAGATTTTGGAACGTAGTAATTCTAAGAGTATGGTAACAAGGCCTCTTGGCTTCACCATATCTTTAGAAGTATATAAGCTAAATTTTGAAAAATATTTATGTCATAAAAGGCAATCATTGGATTAGTGTAGGCCTTGAATAACTCTTACTTTTCTTTTATTATTTCTTACCTTTCCCAATGCTGTTCGTGTAGCCAGTGATTTCATTTAGTATCCTCGATTCTCCGAGCTGCAATGTGAGGTTCATGGTGCCCAGGTAGTGCATCACGGCTGCTTTCAAATACTCGTCCAATTCTTTGCTTGTCCTCGGTTTCATAACGTTGGAACCGATAACGTCGGAAAATCTCGACGTTTCTTCGGTCCCGACGAGAGCTATACCCGGTGCGATCCTGAACTCAGTCTTGTCCTTGAATTGGGTGAGGAGACGAAGCAGATCCAACTTGAAACAGGCCAGGGAATAATCGATTCCGGTGCACCTTTTACCGAAAACCTTCCAAAAACAAAACAAATACATTTGACGTGTTTTTTTAAATAAAATGCGAGATTTTAACTTGTCTAGATATACAAAAATCAAAGCGTTTTTGCTCCTGCTGAATCTTAAAATATTTCGGAAAATGAATCACAAAGACTAGACAAACATGATAAATGATAAATCAGTACGGTTGGCTATCGGAGGGTGAGTTTTCCTGAGGTTTGCGAAGTCCAGAGGAGGAAATTGTATCCCCTAAAGAAGATAAATTGCTCGGAAAATTTACTGTTTAAGACCTTAGAATACTGATAGAAAACCTTCTAAACTGTTGTTAATTGTGTTGATCTGGCATGTCTAATTGTTAAAAATTGTATTGAACTAAACTAAATTAATACTTTTGTTTAGTCGGCCAGGGAAGATTTTTTTATTTATTTTAATATAAAACGTATTATTCGATGTGTCGGCCCTGTTAGATCCATTTTCAGGACTTCATGTAACAACTAAAGCCAAAGTTGATTTTACCCTGCATTTGAATTATTGGGTTGTAAAATTAATTCATGGGGTTTTTAATTATTTTATTTTATCACGCAGTTATCTATTTTTAGGGTGTCCTTTTTAGATGGCCCGGCTTCATTTCTTTTGAACCAATGGCGTTTTCCAAAAAAATAGTTTTTAGTATTTTTTTAGTCTAATTTCTAATTTTTAACTATTTTTGGAGACCAGGGTACCCCAGGCCCAGTTCAATTTCAAATACGATCCACTACATCCTGACACATCATTTTAAAGGAGTTTTTACGTTAAAAACATTGGTGCAATCGGATTTGTTTGTTTATTAAATTGGTCAAAAAATGATAAAGTTGTGAAAAAAAACGCATTTCATTTGTTTCGTCTTTAATGCTAATGTTAATAGCACTGTCAACACGACAGACAAGAATGATACATCTACACAGAAAACAAACACTTTGAGCCCTGAAGATGATCTCAATAAAGATCGAAACGTTGGCACGATAAAGAAAATGTTTTTCTTAAACCTACGTCACACCAGACCGCAACTCACGTTCTCCGAATAATCGTTAATGCTAATAATTTGTTTCTTTACAAAAGTAAACATTAATTGCCTTTATTGTTTACATTCTGATATTCTTTATCAGACTCGCATTATGAGATGAAGTTTTAATACCTGGAAGTAAACAAATTTAATAATAGTACCTATTCGTTACATTGAGTATTCCATTCAAAATAAACCGAAGAGCATATTTTTTCGATCAATAGCGACTTGATTTGTATGACTGCTTTTTTGATAGGGTGGTATTGCGCGTTGTATAGTCGAGTTTACTCCCAGAAATTTCCTGATCTTTCCAGAGTAAACCACATAACGTTTATTCGTTATTGAGGAGATACGGATCAGTTGCTTTTCCATCACCAAGAAACCTGAAGCGTAATTTCGGAAGGAGCTAAATATTGCACTGTTTCCATTAGAGTTCGGTTGTCCGATTGACCAAATAACTGCTTTCAATGAGTTAATCGTTATGCAAGGTATTGGTTGAAATGAAAAAGCCAGTGTCACGAGTGGGATTCGAACCCACGACCTTCGGCTAAATACACCGCTGCTCTACCACTTGAGCTATCGTGACTTCGTTCCAATCGGACACCAATTACCCATATCAACCTACCGTCCGAATTTTCCCTCTTTTTTGATATTTTTCCAATGTCGTGTAATCAGGATTCTCGGCTACAGTTGAAATAGCCACGCAGTGCTTTAGTGAAAATATTCTTGGTTTTATTTATTGGAAGGTAGATTGAGATGGGAAGTTAGTGTCCGAGTGAATCGAAGTCACGATAGCTCAATTGGTAGAGCAGCGGCGTATCTAGCCAAAGGTCGTGGGTTCGAATCCCGCTCGTGACACTGGCTTTTTCATTTCAACCAATACCTCACATAAAGATTAATTTATTGTACTGTATGTTCGCGACAATTCGAATTCCTCTTTCCGAAATATTGGGAGGGTTTTATTTTCAAAAAATAATATTTGAAATTTTATATTTCTTGGGTTTCTTTTTACAACAGACAAGTAGACAACCATCAAACTCATTTTCTTTTTATTGATATAAGAAAAAGAATTCAATATCAATAGAAAGAAAATGAGTTTGTTGATTGTACAGTTCCAGAAAAGGAAACCAAGAAATATAAAAAGCCCGCAACGAATAAAAGAGTTAAAAAAATATATGTCGGGTTCAGCATCTAGCTTTGGTATTTAGTTTTAATGGCTGTATAGATTGAAAATCCGGATTCGGATAAGTATGTTGTGACAACTGAAAGAACACGTTTTGCTTTTTCAACGAGTAGTTGAAATTTTTTGTGATTCAGACGGAGCCAAAAATGGAGGAAAATAGATTTCAAGGTGGAGCATGAACTAATGTCTATGAAGCATTCGTGTTCAGTTAAATATAAACTGGTTGGCTTTTTCAAAATGGAAAACTCCTTGACCACCCATTCATGGCTTGCATCATTGTATCTAGCTGTTGGGAAGTAGTGCTCAAAGGACAACCTCCAACTTCGTAGTTGTTCGCATATTTCATCAATCAATGTGACATTCGCCAGGTTGAGTTTGTTTTCTTTAAAAAAAAATCATTTAATACAGATAAAGTCCTTCTCAATAGAATCAACCAAAAACTGGATTTTTCTTTTGAAGGAGGCTAAAGGTAAAAGGCTAAAGGCTCTTCCCTTGCAAAGAAAGACTCCTCAATCATTTTAATGAAAATATCTTATAAATTCGTTATATCTCCTCATCATTGAAAACGTTGGCCAGTTTGCAATTGCTGTCCATCAACAGAGACTTCAGCACGTAATTTATGTAATCGTGAAAGTGCTTTCGCACAAATCAGCCACCTAACTTCAGTATGGTGAAGCTGGGAATGGCGAAGGCTTACTACATCAACAAATAGTATTGTGAATAGTCTTTACTTAAACGGCCGCGACTTGATATAATTAATAAGTTGAACAGACAAAACTTTCTTACAAGAGGGTGACATTTTTGGATATGTTAGGGCGTGAAGTTGCAAGTCATTCATCACAAGTTTCTTCAAGCGTCTGACATTTTATACGGGTTATTCGTCTAATCTACTTTGCCTGTAGATTCTACATTCAAAACGGAACCAAAAAGTACTAATTAACTATGGGCCGATTCTCAACAGTTTCGGAGTTATTCCACATTTTCTGATTTTTTAAGATTTCACGATTTTGCTTCAAATAAACAATGATAACTCCAACCTTTGGATACTACCAAGGTTTTGGACTAATCTGTTGATACCATTGAAAACTACGTTACATTTCCGATAACGTTTAATAAATTTATTAAAAAAATTTTTATTAAGTTTTTATTTTTTTTAATTTTCCACCTTACCAATCTCTCAGCCGCGTTTTTTTTCCTTTCCTCCATCAATTTCTTCATCTTTGAAAAAAGCAATTAAAAAAGAAATTGCACCCCTAAAAACGATATTAAAGGGAGTAAGTTTTCTGAAATTTACTTGTTTCTAGGTTTGGAATTAGTAGTTCAAATTTACCATAGCAAGTTTTTCAACTTTGAAAAAAAATTTTTTTTTCCAAAGTTCTCGCTACTAAAACGCTAATTTCACAAACTTTACAATTTAATATTAATCACATCTTATTGAAAATTTAATGTAGTTTTCAATGGTATCACAGATTTATCGAAAACCTTATAGTTTTGGAGTTATCATTGTTTATTTGCAGCAAGATCGTGAAATCTTAAAAAATCGGAAAAAGTGTAATAACTCCGAATCCGCTGAGATTGGGACCATACTTAATTAAGATTTTTTGGTTCCATTTTGAATGTAGAATCTACTGGCAAAGTTTGTAACACGAGTAGCCGAACAGCCTGTATAATTCATCTCATTTGATACAATCTTACATATTATTTTCTTATCCTCGGAAAAATCAAACCGACTGACATAATAATCTTGAAGTACATGTTCAAAAAAGACAGAAAATCATGTTTTAAAAAATTATTTAAGTTAAAATATTTATTTTTGGCTCTTAGCTTGGCAAGAAAGCTCGGTCTCGTCTGTTATATTATTTGAACAAAAAGTGCTTCCGTAGTCGCCCTTTGTGTGAAAAATGTATCCAATAATTAGAGATGATAAGTATAAAATTGATTATTTTCGTGATATACTTTGATAATCAAAAGTTACAAACGAGCATATGCCACCTAACTTTTTAATTTAATTTAATTTTTTTTAGCAAAAAGCCCTTCGCCTTTATATAACCGAAAGATCAATTTTAACATAATCTGCCCTACCTGTCTGATATGATTATTATCCGCCGCTGTAAGTAAAGCGCAGGCGGCGATTGTCGACAAACTTCGCAGCCACATCTCAAAGATAGGACCTGCAGACCTGTGCAGCTTGAATTATAAACACCTCCCCCCATCACGTTCTTCCCTCCTTCCCACGATTACTAGAGCAGAAATCACCCAGGAAATTGGGTTAGCCCTCAAGGGGTAAAAAATACAACAGGATTTGTTACTTGTATTATAAAAGAAAAAATGAGACAATCTGGTTTCGTTCAGACCCACGATGAGAAAATTCAACTTGATAAACAACACTACGGTTCAACCAAATCGTTAAATTAAATTACGAAATGGTAAGGTCTTTATTTCTTAATGACCTTTAAATTAATACAATTACCAATACAAGTAAATTGGAAAAGTTATGAAACCCATTAACTCGTTAACAGAAAATAACTCGATGCAAAATTTCTGTTCGTTAGAAAAAACAACTCATCAAGAACGCACTTACTCAAATTCAATGGACTATTAATATTTTTCTAGAAGATTTTTATTCCGACCTCGACTTTTTTAATTTAATTTTCTATTAGTGTAAAAATAAGAAAAATTAGTGTATTGTTTCTGATATCAAGAGAATATCCAAATATAAAAGAAATAGAAGGCGAACTTGACAAACCGTTAACGTTTCAAACATGAAACATCCAGCAGAAACGATTAAGGTTTCAATAAACGACAAATAGAATCCCTACAGTTTGACAGATTTATATCATTTTCACAAAAGAAAGCAAAATGAAAGGCATTGGAGGATGTGCATATATTATTTTTTAAAATAATAATAAATCCGCTAGAGTTCGTGGTCCGATTGACCGAATAACTTTTTTCAATTAATTAATCTTTACGTAAGGTATTGGTTGAGATAAAAAAGTCAGTGGCACGAGCGGGATTCGAACCCACGACCTTCGGCTAGATACGCCGCTACGTTAACAGTTGAGCTATCGTGACTTCGGTCCACTCGGACACCAACTTCCCGTCTTAACCCAACTTTTCGAATTTTCCGAGTGACCGAAGTCACGATAACTCACGTGGTAAAGTAGCGGCGTATCTAGCCGAAGGTCGTTGGTTCGAATCCCGCTCGTGACATTGACTTTTTTATCTCAACCAATACCTTACGTAAAGATTTATTAATTGAATAATAATAAAAATACCGAAGGTAAATGTAAATTACTCAAATTAATTAAAAACAATTGGGTTGATCAGAAAAGCGGAGTGGGCAATTGACCTTGAAATAACTCAAGCATAAAAACATAAATTTATTAAAATGAGACAGTAAGGTCCCAATTGACAAACTTGTGAATCTAACTAACTGGGAGTCTTACTAGAGCTATTCAGGTCGAAAGTAAGAAACCATGACATGTGGTATCGGAGATTGACCAGGGTGAAGGCGCACGTCAGCATTGATGGGAGGAGCAGATCACTTGGAAAAATGGCGAAAAGGAGGGAAAATTCAAAAGGTGGAGTTGAGATAGGAAGTTAGTGCCTGAGTGGATCGAAGTCACGATAGCTCAAGTGGTAGAGCAGCGGCGCATTGAGCCTAAGGTCGTGGGTTCGAATCCCGCTCGCGACACTGACTTTTTTATCTCAACTAAAAACCTTAATTAATTGAACGATATTAATTGGTCAAGCGGACCACGAAAACTAGTGAATTCAGAAATATGTTTTATCTGGTCAGTTGTGACGAAGGATTGTCGCGAATGAACTAGATCAATTCCAATATTTCGGTTTGACCACATCTACCATGACATAATTAGTCTAAATCCACCAATTGAAGATCACGGACCGTTTTTCAGGGTAGCCTATATATTTGGATAACTTTAAAACAATTCCACTTATCTCCGGAAACATTACAGGGGTTTAGAACCCCATAAACTATACTTAATAGCACTGGTATTAGAATATAAATCAGAACCGGACTTATAAAATAAAAAGTTTGATAGTTTTGTGGATTTCAACCTTATTTTTTCACTTACAATAGCCTATAAATCAAAAGTTGAGGATATTTGCTCAAAGAGAGGAAATGCAGGTTTCGAACGGTCGTAACATCGTGGGTATTTGATAAAATCCAGTGGTGGTATGAATTTTGAAGCGGTAAGCCAGACATCGCAGAACAAAAATTGCTCCTTGCTGATGCAGCCCAAAAATGTGTAGTTTTGGCTTCCCATAAAAATACTTATTTAAGGAATTTAAAGGGTGTTTAAAACAAACGTGGGTCGGTTTTTCAAGAACAACTTTTTTTGTCCTACTTTATTGCGTATTTCGTTTTTGTAACTTTGAATGAATGAATTGCATATTATCTTTTTATTATAGGTAAAAAACTATCATGTATAAAATCATAGCTTATCAAGGAATTCTTCGTTCCACATTTTATTTAATGAGCGTGTTTGCTCTGAGTTTAATACTGCTGTGTATTACCAATGGTTAGAATTTGAGAGCTTATCTAGTAAGGCCCACTAGGCAATCCAACATTTCCTGTTAAATAGCTCTTGTGATTAATCTAACTTTGGGCAGATTGATAATAAGTGAGGTACTCAATTTCATGTAGTACACTTCTTCTCAGGTTTGTTAAAAGCAATACAAATACAACAAACCAGCTTTAACTTTAACAATCCACCTGATGGCATCAAGCCTTAAACTTTTCCCCAAGATCGATTAATTCGAAGTTTAATATTCTGTAAGGCGGTACTTTAATAATCATTATGAGGTTAATCGTTATGGCATTTACCTCTTTATAAATGTCAATCAAGATAAGGATGTTAAAGTCATGTTTTGTTCTATACTACACATTTAAAACACTTCTCGAAGCTTTGGAAAGCACTCAATGACATTTCTTATCACTTCAAATACAAGAAGACTTGAAAAGCTTCCTTTTAGGCGTATCAAAACTCTTAATATACAGTTCATATGAAATATGTTTCAAGGTGAATAAATTAGGAAGGAGTCCATGAAGGAAGTTGTTTTATGAGGAAGCAATACTCCTCCACAAATCCCGACAACAATTCAACACCATCAGTGATATGGAATGTCGTAAAAACGACAACTTTTTGTAGGTTGAATGCTTGCCTATTAATAATTTAAATGCTGTATAGCCTTTAAATGTATGGTGATTAGTGTCCGTTAATCGATAATTATTCAGAAATCGTGAGATGCGGTCTGGTGTGATGTAGGTTTCGGAAAAACATTTTCTTTATCGTGGCAACGTTTCGACTCTCAACACGACACGCAAGAATGGCACAATTACATAGAAGACAAACATTTTGAGCCCTGAAGATGATCTCAATAAAGATCGAAACGTTGGCACGATAAAGAAAATGTTTTTCTGAAACCTACAATACACCAGACCGCATCTCACAATTTCTGAATAATAGTCTTTAAAGGAGTACTTTTCTATCTGCTCTTTTTTTTCATTGGCACTTTTTTTTTTTTACGAGGGTTCGCAACTGCAGAGGCATACCCTAAGGGTGCCGGTGTTTTTGAAAAAAACAAACAAAAAAAACATATGTAAGTATGTCGGGTTCGAATGCAGGCTCGCTGGAATCGAACCCGGGACCTTTACCTCAGAGTGATGAGCGCCGTGTCAACGCCTAAACCGTTGCGGCCACCGACGCCCTCATTGGCACTTTATTATTTTATTTTGATAGTTAACTGGAATAAAAATAAATTATATTTCTAACAATAAACACATTTTATTTGCATAAGTTCTTGTAAGGTGTAATTGCACTATTGGCATGATTCTTGGATAACTGCAGTGAAAATATATAATTTTATCATTTAACATGTTATAATGGCACAATAAAATTATTTTTTATTAGTGTGATTACAGTCATTACTTGATATTACAATTTTATTGTTATAATAACTGGAACATTTCTGGATTAATAAATGACTGAAAACTTTAAATTAAATGTTATTGGTAACTTTCAATTAATTAAGGTTTTAGTTGAGATAAAAAGTCAATGTCATGAGCCGGTTCGAACCCACGACCTTCGGCTAGATACGCCACTACTCTACCACTTGAGCTATCGTGACTTCGATCCATTCGCACACCAGCTTCCCATCCCAACCCCACCTTTGAATTTTCCCTCCTTTTTGCCATTTTTCAATCGAATTTCGAATCCAGCTCGTGACACTGGCTTTTTGTCTCAACCAAAAACCTTAATTAATTGAAAGATATTAATTGTTCAATCGAACCACGAAAACTAGTGAATTTAAGGAGTTATTGGTAACTAGCACAAATTTCTGCAAGTAGTTACTTACATCTAATGACAATAAATATAATAAATTAAATATTTCCTAATTTTTGATTTCTTTGGCAATATTTTACAAGTTTCTGTAGTATTCCCTGTATGGCGACAATTCGTTGTAGTCACTGGGATGCTCGTCATGGTGAAAACCGTTGCTGCCTAATTTCCTCCACCAGTGTTCATGAAGCGAGGGCGCTTTTGAGACTATAACATGCTGTATGCTTTTCTCAGTTTTCTTATTTGCTAAAAAAAAGAAAAAGATAGTTTAATATCTGCTTGAACGCTTGGAAAGCTTAACCCATCGGCATTACACCCTTGTTCTAATTATTTGCTGGAGCAAAATTCAAACAGTCACTTCCAGTTTTAGAGATACAATATAAAAAAAAGATAATTTACAAAGACTAAGCGATATTTTAATATGAGAAATTCTTCTTTCTAGAGAAGTAGGACAAACAACTAATTAATGCAAACAGAAGAGAGAAACTATAATAATTTTTTTACCTGTGAGATTTTTGATGCCGGCGACTAGTGCAATGGTGAAAGCGAGTAGACTGATGGTGATGCCCTTCCAGGATGCAAAGAGCGCCATCGCAACGAGTGATGGGATTATGAATGATGCAGCAATCATCTTAACTATCATAAGGACCCGCATCATTTGACCCTTTTTCTGTTTTCCTCCTAATATTCAACAAATAATTACGATTAATCACAAACATTAAAAAAAATGTTTTTAAAATGTATAGGACATTTAGCCTAATTATTCTACTATGTAAAACCATTGATGAGGGCTTTAGTTATTTTAATTTGGTTAACCTGATGGAATATAAATTTAAAGGAACTGATTATTTCGCATGGAAACAGGCTTGCTGCTGCTTCCAGTACTAAGTGATCAAAAATCAAAAGAGATTGTGAGATTTATTTGTCTAATTAAAACCGTTATATTTAATTACACGACATTTGAAAAATGGCAAAAAGGAAGGAAAATTCGAAAGGTTGAGAGTTGAGATGGAGAGGTGGTGTCCGAGCGGATCGAAGTCACGATAGCTCAAGTGGTAGAGCAGCCGAAGGTCGTGGGTTCGAATCCTGCTCGTGGCACTAACTTTTTCATTTCAACCTAAAGCCTAACATAAAAAGATTAATTATTTTTCCAATATTGAACCTGTAATTTGGTGATTACATTTTGGTCTGCTTACCTTTGCTGAGTAATCCTAACTAAGGAAAGATACGCAGACAAAAATGATCAGAAATGACCAAATTGCAAATCTTGCCAGTTTTAATTCTCTAAACCCAGCTGGGAGATTAAAACCAATGATGGATAAGATCTCAGGGGATAAATTTTATTGTTTATTGTTAAGAGAAATTTATTCGAAGATATACAAGCCCATCAAAGGCAGTCTTTACGAATAGAGGAACTCATTACTATCAAATTTTTGCATTTTGTTGGCCTCATTTTTCAATCACGAGCGTTCACTGATCGAACCGGCCGACGAAATTTGCACACTCCGGATGGCTAGAAACCAGTGATTGGTGATTTTAATAGCAAATATTTTGCCTTTTAATGAGCTTCAAGTTCCTGAAAGCTTTGATCGGAATAAATTTAAAGTTGTGTCAAAAATTGAGGTCATTGTTAATAATGAGGTAATCCTAGTCTAGTGAGGATAAGTAGACTAAAATGATTGGTAATAACCAAATTACAATTAAGTAGAATCGTTAGGTGTTACTTAGGGAAGCCTGCTCTAGTTGTTGGACTTTTTGGAGTATTGACGAACTATATTTTATTTTAAGTAAGAAATTTAGCTGTATTTGGACATCATAGTATTTTTGAGGGTTGAGGCGTTTGTCATCCTTCATTAAGTAATTAGAGGACAAAGTTTCAACAAAACAATGCCAGGTTGTATACTTCTGGACAAGAAAAACAAAAACTTTTTCATTTGGATAGGATCCACTTTCCACTGTACTTTTTGGTCCTGATCTAATTCATTTTTAGTTTACCCTTTTCTTACGAGCCATGTTGGAAGAGAGAGTACCCACGAGTGGATTGTGCTGATGTGCACTTACCAGTCTGGAAGTGAGCCTGGTCCAGGTCGATTAACAGTAGCCCATATTGAACCGTTGGAATTTTCGAACGAGGGCAGAGGAAAATTCGAGAATTTCGTACTCTTGTCATCATCAGTTGGTTCACAGTATCAACGTATGGTGTGGTCTTCTCGTTAATAAATTAACTGGGCCTTTTTTCCGCGAAAATAATTTAAATGGTGATCAGTCCCTCATTTTTTTACCAACTCTATTAGATTGTGTTCCTCTGCAACAACGACAAAGAATGATTCCCAAGCTTGATGGGTGCCCCGCACACAATTTTTCCTGCATAGGTGGATATGACCTCATGGCCCGATCTGTTGGCCTCCTCGGTCGCCCGATTTAACTCCACTTAGCTATTTTCTGTGGGGCCAATTAAAACAATTTCTACGCCAATCATAACCCAGCAACTCACTTGAAGAACTGCGGCAAAAGATAGAAAATTCTTGTCAATCCATCTCCCCTGACTCTATTGCTCTGAGTACCGGTTAAAAAGGGTAAGTTGCATCTTTACGCAAGGCAGGCAGGTCGAAAATGATTAATAAATAACAAGCCAAATGACTTTGCCATAACTTTGTCATTTCTATCTATTCTATCGCTCTGAGCACTGGTGAAGAGTGGTTAAAAAGAAAAAAAAACTTTGGATCTTTACGCAAGGCAGGCAGTTCAAACATAAAATGTGATTAATAAATAGCAAACCAAATGACATTTTTGACATTTGTCATTTTTTGACCGATTTAAAATCCGATTGCACCATTATTATCATCGTAAAACATCCTCAAAAACGATATGGCAGGATGTATAGGGTCGTATTTATAATTTTGATGTTTAACTGGGCCTGAGGTATCTGTACAGTTTTTCTCCAAAAGAAGGTAAAAATTTGAAACTAGAATAAGAATATTAACGACGTATTTTTTTTGATAGCGTCATTTGTTTAAGAGAAATTCCGCCGGGCCATGTAAAAAGGACACCCGGCATATTGCACATTTTCAAGGGGGTGATAGGCTATATAATCCACGAGGTATATCTTTAGAAGGGAGGTCTAATAGGTTTGTTGGTTTGAGGTGACCAATTGCAACAGTATCATGGATGGGATCAACCTTCCACTGTATCAACCATACGGTTCTGACCTAGTTCTTCTTCTAGGCCCATTTTAAAAGGGGGGTTACCTTGATTTAATTGAATATATGAGAATACATTCCACGAGCACATCAGCACAATAGGCATTACCTGTCTGCACGTTATGAAGGCCTAAGTCAACTGATACTAGGCCATATTGAGGCTTATCTTACACGAAGTACTTATCAACTGCCAAACAGCTTTGTCTCAAGAAGTGTAAATCACCATTACAAATTACCAAAGAGCAAATTGAACATCATCACAAAACGTGTCAGTGGCTTTTTAAAAATCCAAGGGATGAATGTTTCATGAAAAAAAATCGTTCATTTCATCCACACTGGGTAGGTCCGATAGACGTTTTTTGACATCGCCATTTTCAGTTTGTCTGTGTGATTTTTTTGACGTGGGCTAAGTCACTGTAAGTAAGACTAAGTGAACTTTGTGTGTGAGGAAAAGTAGATTTAATGGTATTGTGCACATCAGCACAGTGGTGATAAGACAGATGTCAAACTGCTCTACCAAAAAAACTAGACTTTTCCTCTCTTGTTTAGAATTGTTCAATTGACAGCTGTATGTGATTTTGTTACAGAATAGCAAACCACCACCAAATCTGAAATATATTCAGAACCACTTCCATGTATTTGCGAGGTTTCAATATGCGATTAGAGATGAGTGCACAAATCCTACCGGTCCTGATCTTGCTCCTCCACACTAACATCTCTGGATATTGTCTGAACAAAACAATCTTGCACACGATACAGGAAAACGTTAAATAGCAATAACCGCAAATAGCAATTTTCTTGACCGAATCACCCCGAACTAAGAGCTAATCTATTGATGTCATTATCCATAATGGCCACAAACCCACGATTCAAATTACGTGAGGTAATAAAGTGGGCACTGTCAAATTAGTTTATCTTAATTTATTTAAATTATGATTGGTGATGATTTGCAATTTAGTCGTTACTGATCATTTTTATCCGCCTATCGCCACAAAGTTCGTTTGTCAGACACGTTTCGGCATTTTGCCATCTTCAGTCGAAATCTTGTGATTGCTTTGAAGTCAAGTCTTTTTTGTATATGGGAGTTGGGTGCGTGTGATTTTTTTTTGTCGATGCCTTTGGTGGAAAGTTTGGGGTGTTTTGTTCAGACCGGTTTTCTTCGGTCCTTTTGTTTGCAATTACTAGCATTTTGAATGGTATAGATTAAAATGGTATGAGAACTGTTGCCAATGTGAGGGTTTATGAGGTTTTTAGTGTCAAATGTGTCGTGTTTGAATATTTCAAAGTTTACGAGTAAGTTCGTTTTTCGACCTTTTTGTACGTCGTGTTGTGTTTCTTGCTGGTCTGGTAATGTTGAGAGATGGGGAGGATTTTTAGTGAAGTGACTCGTGAGGTTAAATTTTCCTAAATTGTCCCTACACGATTTTCTTTGTAACTCCTTTTATTTCTTTCATGTCTGTTCATGTTTTTGTCTCCACATTCACAAGTTGATATGGTATGTAGCTGCACTTTCCACGCACTTAGCAGACATTTTTTTGAAGAAACAAAGTTGATAGTTGTTTTCTGCACCTGAAAAATTTCTGAATACAAATTTTGGGGGAAAATTTTCTAATTTTCTGCATTCTTCGCATATTGCATGTGTTTTCTTTTCAAATGCCTACGATTTTTTTCGAAAATCGGAAAAATAATTTTAAATTTGAAACCGATCCACCGATCCTTAGGAAGCATGACAGGGGAACAGCATAAACTACACTAACCGAACCTGGTCTCCGAAAATAAATCAGAACCGAACCAAGCAGTTGATTATATTTATTGTTTTTCCAAGGAGTTTAGTTTGTCGAAGTATTTTGTGTTGTTGACGTATAATCATATGAAAATTATGTAAAAATAGTTTTGTCTGAAATATGGACGACGACCAAAATTCTTCTCGTCCTTCTCTGCTTTATCATCTCTATATTCATTTAAACTTTAACTTAGCCTAATATGCTTTGTACAAAGGGATTTAGCAGCTATTGGTCGGATTATAAGAAGTTACAAAAAAAAATAAAATAAAATAAAAGCAAGAAAATAATAGGACAAATCATCCCAAAAATGCCTCAATTGATGATAAAAATCAGAACACAATTTGTACAAAGCGGTCCAAGTCAATATTCTTCTATTCAAGTCTTTTATTTGTACGGGATACAATGTCAAATTTATAAAATCTACAACAAGTTTTTATTCGTAATTAATTAAATAACATTTAAGGGTGTATTTTTGCATAATCATTTAATTTATTAACAGCTACCATAACTGTTGTTGTCCTAGAATTTAGCATTTTCTTATTTAAGAAATATTGCATGTGAATATTATTTTTCATCAAATAAATTTAAGTAAATATTTCATAACATGAAAAACTTCATAGAGCATATGCTATTTTAATACTAATTATTTGAGAGGACATATAACCTGAAATCCTTTTTTTTGTTTGCTTTGTCCTTCCGTTATGTGTTCCGTGTTCCTAGTGGTAGGATTGTATTTTTCTTTATCATGTATCACAAAGAAAATTGGGTGAAAGGAGTCGGTTATCTTTGATCCGTCAGTGGCATTAAAAAAAATTCTAATCAATCAGATAATCAAATTCTTATCCATATTAGCCCGTAAATTTCTCGATGTCGATCACAATCGTGTAACTATCATTTTTCCGTAATTACTAAAAATAATTAGGACGGATGTAGATAAAAAAGAACTCACTAGCTTCGGAAATGCTTCGTTGTTTGTCAGCAACTTCGTCATCACCTTTTGCGACGAACCCGACGACGGTCCGCTCCGTTTCGCCGTCCTGAAGACCCGAAGCCTCGGTAGCGCCAATGCAGAGGAGGAGGGCCAAAAGGAGGCACGCGGCACCCATATCGTTTGAATAGTGGTTTTTGGCTGCGAAAGTGCGAAGCTTACTATTTAAAGCCCCCTCCCAAAGTACCTCCCTCTTCGTTCCCCTTTGACGCGAGGTGACGGGTCAAAAGTTCGTTACCTTCGTAAAATATGATTATTAGGGGTCGGAATCAGGAAAAAATAGGCAACTATGAGGAAATACAGTCGTTAGATTAAATAGTTTAACCCTCAGTTAAAGCATTTTAACATTTAAGAACAGGATAAAATGTCTTCCGATTTTAACTCACAAGGTTTTAGTTATTTGCTGCATTAATTTGGCAGATTTTGACAAAATTTACGATTTACACTTTCAAAAAAACTCAAACAATCAATATTAACTCAATTACATTATATATATATATATTTTTTTTTTTTAAACAATTTGTTGGATTTGTGAGGACCGGTCAAAATCACAAATCAAACAAATTATATTATGTATTGAAAGTCCTTTGTAGAAAAATGAACTCTTTGTCAAAATTTCTAAATTGAAACCGTGCTGGCTAATTATAGTTATTGAGAAAATTTCCCAAAATCTCATTATAATTCTTTCAATTATATATAATATTATATCTATTCCTAATATCGAAATCATAATATATATTCAGTTTTTCTATTGGAAACTGTACTGTAAAGAAAAATTATTATCTAATTGTGTGATTTCCTAATGTGATCTGCCGAAACCTGAAATCTGTCAGTTGCCGATCATCTTGATCTGTTAAAACTTAAGTCCATCGCCTCGCAGACCTAAATAAGTATTGGTGAATAGTGCCACAGAGGGAGCAGCGTGGCTGTGCGGACCAGGTTTTATCAAGCCTTTGAATGAGTAGAATATGTGTCTACGTTTCAGGTTTCTTTTGACAGAGTCGGTATGTTTCTCTACCATCTTCTTGCCTGGTAAGAAAGAGAGACAGAGAAAGAGAGAGAGAGAGAGAGAGAGAGAGAGAGAGAGTGAGAGTGAGAAAGAGAGAGAAGAGAGACTGACAGACAGACAGAATGATAGAAAGACAGAGGAATAGACGGACAGAGAGAGAGAAGAGAGACTNTGTGGGAGAGATTAACGATTTATTTATTAAAATACAGGCAAAAGTTAGATCTCTAGGGCCTTTCTTACACTTCACGTGTAATTACAATTATATTTGTTTAGAAATGTGTAGAGATTAGTGACCGTTAATAGATAGTTATTCAGATATCGTGAGATGCGGTCACCGACCGACCGCATCTCACGATATCTAAATAATTATATTTGTTTATAGTCGCAACAGTAATAATATAGAAATAATAACTTATAGTAAAATCAAAAATGGAGTAAATAACTAAAGTGTGAATAAGTTGAACTTGTAAGTTATATTTTTCTATAGTAACAATATTATATATAAAATTTCGTAAATTTCTTGAAAAGTAGATTAGAATCTTCTAGAATTATGACATAATAATGTAAAAATGAAATAAAATACTAATAAAATTTTTATTAATCTTTTAAAATTTAATGTAAATGTATATAATAAAAAAGAGAATAATAAAAGCTATAAATAAAAGTATATAAGTATATTATGGGATGTTAAGTACATAAATACTAAATAAAGTAAATGCTAATTTGTAGTATTATATTCAACATATTTACTTATAAGTTTATGTAAATTTTACTTCGATTGATTTTATGCTTTTTATTTGAGCTGTATGTTTCGGTATTGAGTTAAAGATTTTTGAAGCTTTTATTGTAAATGAATTGTTAAATGTTTTTGTTCTGTGTTTTGGTAGATAAATTAAGTAATTAGCTGTTCTGGGACTAAAGTTATGGATATTGCATTGCAATTGAAAATAATGAAACATGTAGATAGGGTTTTTAGTTTGTAGTATTTTGTACAAAAAGGTTGTATATAAAAAGTTACTTCGTCTCCTTATTTTTGAGGTATTTTCGACGTTCTTATCTTGTCTTATACCTGATACGTCCAGTGCCTTTTAGGTGGTTTTCTTTTTCAATCCATTTTTTCATCTTTGTCTTGATCACACTCTCCGGTGTACCTAGTTCTGGTTCTTGTAACATGGGCGAAAGGGCTGCCTCTTTTTTTGGTTAATTGTTTAGCCTGTTCGTTTCCTTTTACACCACCTTCTATATTCCTACCCTCTCTGTATAAGGTTAGCAACATGGCTGTTTTTGCACTGTTTATTTAATATATCGTTTTCTGCCGTCCAACAGAAAAAAGGGAGGTTTAATGGACCATATATAATCGGAAATTACCGAGTTATAGGCTCATCACCTAGTAAACCTCCAAAAGAAATAAATCTTTTTTTATGTATCACGTCTTCCAAAAGATGATTTGAAAGATACCTATTTTACAGGTCATTTAAGATAGATATTATGTGCTTTTCCATATTGATCTGAAACGATGAAGGTTCATCACCCAGTAGACCTTAGGCAGAAATATATTAACTTTTTTATAGTATTGGGGAGAATGGAGTTGGTTCAGCCCCACCCCGAGGAATATCGAGTACTCTGTGGGAATGTATGTGAACTGACTTTTATGTTCCCGGTGTTGTGTTTATGTTAATTTATTGGAATGAACGTAAATTATTAGCTAGAATGGAGTGGGTTCAACCTCGCCCCGAGGAATATCAAGTATTCAGGGGTGAGTTCGTGACGTCTGTAGAGCAAAAATAATTTATTAGCGAGAATAGAGTGGGTTCAGTCCCACCCCCAGGAATATCGAGTACTCTGGGGGAGTGAATATGACCAGACTTTTATGTTCCATCCGGTGATGTGTTTATGTTAATTTACAAGAATGAATGTAATTTATTAGCGTAAAAGGGGTCTAGAGGAATATCATGCTCTCTGGGTTGAGTGCGTGACGTCTGGAGAGTAAAAGTAAATTATTAGCGAGAATGGAGTTGGTTCAATCCCGCCCTGAGGAGCATCGAGTATTCTGGGGGATTGAATGTGAGAAGCCGCCGAACTACTGGGCCATGGGTTTCACCCGGATATCTCGCTCGTTCACACTCTTGTCAAGTCTTCTTTACTACAAATCAGCGTAAAAAACAACAAAAAACATTACGCATACTTATATATTAAATATATATTTATCGTTTCTAAGCAAGACCGAGTAAATTGGAAGCTACGGCTCTTTTGGAGATACTAGGTCGAAAAATATTAGAAACATGTCTGAGCGTTCTTGCCAATGGTCCTGAAGAGCCGAGAAAAAATTAAGTAATTTATATAATTGCATGTAATTCAAGATTTATTGAATTTGCATTTTAAGCGGAACACCCTACCAGGGTAAAATGCACCCGTCTAATCCAGCAAGCAGTAAAAAATATTAAATGGTTCACTACAACTCTTCTCTTGGATTCAATAGTAGAATCACAAAAATATTACACGGAGGTGAAATTTGGGCTCTCAGATACATTGATAAAATAGAACAATTGCAATCAAAAGTTTTCAAAAAATTGCTGCTTACCACGTTCTACACCGGGTTATTTAAGAAGATTGGAAGACTGAAAATTTCTATTCAACTTTTGAAAGCAGGCATTAGATGGTAGTTAAAATTAAAATGCATGTAAAACAGTAGAATTTCCAAAATTTATTACAACAGAATGAATCAATTAGCTAAGGGCCAAAACATTGATACCACGTACAATTAGGTTTCACAACTGAAAGCACTTGCTCAGATACATTTGGGATAAAGGATATAGCAATGCCATTAGGAAACAATTACACGTATTAACTATAAAAATTATTTTTTCGAAAAGATTTAGAAAAGAATAACTCAACGGGGGCGTCGGTGGCCGCAACGGTTTAGGCGTTGACACGACGCTTCATGACTGTAAAGAAAAAGTCCCGGGTTCGAATCCAGCGACCCTGCATTCGAACACGACATACAAATGGGTTGATATAACTTCTGCTGTTGCCTGTTGCCCCTTTAAAAAAAAAGAAGAAAAAAAGTACCTTTTTATAAAATGAGGTATATATATATATATATATATATATGTGCTAAACTTGGACTGATTTGGGACAAAACATATCTTTCTACTATAAAGGACATAATTACTTTTGGGATCAGAGGACAGTCTGCCTTACATAACAATCTAAAGAAAATTATTTGCATAATTCAACATAGATACTATATAGTTATCCGTGTTTTGACAGACCAGCCCAGTGAGGACAGACCAAAATTATCGGTAACGACCAAATTAGAGGTTCATCTCTCAGCAGACCACAGAACGAAATCTCACGAATTATTTCTGCGGTTACAACACTAAGCGGATTAAGTCGGAAATCGTAACTTTATGGAAATCGCGTTTAATGGTTTAAAATTTAATCCGGAATCGAGTAAAGGGTCGAATTATGAATAATTCTTTCAACATTAGCAAAGCTTCCTGAAATGGTTTGGTTATTTTTTCATGTAATTAATTCCTCTTTAAACCACTTTTCACTGTAACCACAGATTTATACTTCAATTTTTATCATGTTTAATTGATTTCCGATCTTTACTATCGGGTATAGATACTTGATATTATTTTTTATGTAGAAATCCGCAATGACATTATTTTTTAAGCTTCCATGAATTCCCTCGAAAAGTTTTAAAAATATAATTATATTTCTTTTTTTTACATTTATATATTTTAAATATGTTTCACCTAATAAATGACTTTCACCTGGCATAGGATTTACAGTTATCAGAAGTTAATCAATTAGAGACACGTCCTATTATTCAAGTTTACATAAAATATATAAAGTAAATTAGTTTTCCTTATTCGTGGGACCCAAAGAAACTTTAAAAATTAGTGAAGAATCAGACATTCGCCAGCGGCATTGGTGATAAAGGTCCGGGGTCAGATTGGCCCACTGGGTGCCGGAAACGGGACACAGCAGGTGGGTCCGTTGGTATCGTTTGCCTTGAAAACTTTCTTTCCCCGTATACTTTATGGTAATTAATGGGGTAAGTGTAACCTTGCGAGCCAAGATCCTAACATCTTAGAACATTTTTTTGTCCTTTGGTTACAAATCGGGCTTTAGTATAATTATTCTATCAGGTCAGGTAGAAGGTAAATAAGCAGATCGTAGTGGTTTAGGTTCTTTGAAAGCCTAGAAGTATGTAAATATGTATTAATTCATGTTGATATGTTCTCATCTATTCCACGGAGCAAAGTATCAACTAAGAAAGACTATTCTTCAAGAAGTTAGTACATAATTAGGTTATTATAATTTGATAGTTACCTATTTTTAAAAATCAGCGTGTTTAGGCAGATCGACGGTAGGTAACTATCAAACTATAGTTTTATCACCCCACAGTCCACAGGAGGAAATCTTACAATTATAATATTAATAATTTGGCAGGTACAGTTTTATTATCCTTGGGGGATCAGGCTTTCTTCTCCACTATAAACCATTTTTATTTCCGGTATTTTTAAATTTCTTTTTAGGGCTGATATGAGGTAGAAAGGAGCCGGGGAAATCGGACACAAAGTAGCCCGAAAAGGACCCGCCGCGACCCGCCAGTATTGTCGTCAGCCGCGGATCATTTGCCGTTGTGCAGCCATCCATCAAACGGGGCCCGGCTGAAGACGGGGGTCATGCGGTTAATTGACGATGCCATTAGAAAGCCCGTGACACGCAGGTTATGGTATAATTAGTCAAATATTTCAGAGAAATCCAAACAGCGGCAGCCGGTAAACATTTTTTCAGACAGTCGTTGCTATTTCAGTTAAACAAACACAAAGCTATTTACACGCCATTGCCAGATGCAAAGTGATGTGCAGTACCTTCAATCTTAATAACCGCACAGAAATACGTTCATTAAGTGATGATACTCTGAATATATCTGGGTCTTTTTAACATGTACTAAATCAAAAAACAAATTACTGCCAACTAAAATATCTTACATTTAAAGCATTACACGCATCTACCATCCATCAAGATGTCTATGCCAAGTTTGCAAGAAGGCTTAAATCACAAGAAAATTATTATCTAATGAAAAGTGTTGATATGTAACATACTCTTCGCTGGTAACGAACAATTGTAGTTTCCGGCGCAACACTAGACGGAATGCGACGGAAGTTTTCGCGACGGAAATTTCCGTTGGACAAGCATACATTCAAAACACAGCCAGCGACAGAAGGACATTTTCGTCGTAATGTCTCCGTCGAGCTCCGTTTGTGCACCAGCTTCCGTCGACAGAATTTTCTGCAGGGTTCCGTCTAAACAGATCAAAACCGTAGAAAGAAGATGGGGTGCGCCACACTGTCGACGGACAAGCATAGAATTAAAGAGGTAGGCAGTCCTACATGCAAACTGCAAGTGAAGCTGATCTAGTATGGACTTGTACCAATTTATTGTGGAAGTTCTATATCATCCCATAGTACTGGAAGAACTTGACGGGATAGCGTCTAAGTTCCCCATGCAGACAGTTGTTAATTGACCAAGTGCTACCCTTTTCATATTCAATGGAGGAATCCAATGTTCTCTCTTTTTCTTCTGCTTCTCCTTTGCCTTGTAAATACACAAAATGAAAAGTTTTTCATTGTACCGTACACGATCAACTGAGTCACGTTATCAACTGCATGTCAGAACAGTCGTTAAAGTCATTCCGTTCATTTCCGCTGTATATGTGGCTTGTGTTCGGGTTGGGTGGATTTTTCGTCGCGAAATTTCCGTCACATTCCGTCTAGTGTGGCGCCGGCTGTATCAGTATGCTGAAGTATCTAAGCAAAAGGATCAAAACATTTTATATCGTATAAAAGAACGAATGCACGAAAAAAAGTGTGCTGTGAATTTGGTGGGACAGGTTCGGCCTCTTACATTTTGAGCTTTTATCAGACAGGCAAACGGTTAACGGAAGTTAGTGTCCGAGTGGATCGAAGTCACGATAGCTCAGGTGGTAGAATAGCGGCGTGTCTAGCCGAAGGTCGTGGGTTCGAATCCCGCTCGTGACATTGACTTTTTTATCTCAACTAAAAACATTAATTAATTGAAAGATATTAATTGGTCAAGCGGACCACGAAAACTAGTGAAACGGTTAACAGTACACTGTGCTGTGAAGAGCTAACCCGTTTAGACCTCAAATAAAGCACTGAACTAGCAAACAGAAAATAAACAAGAACCTAGGGGCGACGTTGCTTTAAGGCCCAAGCGATTATTAACTAATCCGATTTGGGAAATTTTATCACACCGGCCATACTCTCCGGACGTGCTACCTTGTGATAACTATTAATTTTGGTCATTGCAGATTTTTTAATTGCGAAAACTTGAAAGTTTTGAAAGTGTTCAATCCTGGACGCAAAAGATGGGAGTTTTTATGCGACAGGAATTAATCTGAAAGATAGCAAAAAGTAATTAAAAATTACAATTAATTAAGGTTTTTAGTTGAGATGAAAAAAAGTTAATGGCACGAGAGGGAGTCGAACCCACGACCTTCGGCTAGATACGCCGCTGCTCTACCACTTGAGCTATCGTGACCTCGATCCACTCGGACATCAACTCCCCATCTCAACCCCACCTTATGAGTTTTCCCTCCTTTTGCCATTTTTCAAATGTCGTTTTTTCATCTCAACTAAAAACCTTAATTAATTGTAATGTTTAGTTGGTCAAGCGGACCACGAAATTAGTGAATGTAATTAAAAATATTGAACAATAATTTCCGAATACTTCAAAACATGCCAGGTATAAAAAAAATATATATACTGAAAAAAGTCATTATTTTTGTCCAACCCAATTATAACGCGGTTAAGTGATAAGCAATGACAAAACATTAAATATGGCGATTAATTATATTAAATATGTGTGGTCATTAGTGACCATTAGTCGATGATTATTCAGAAATCGTAAGATGCGGTGTGGTGTGATGTAGGTTTCAGAAAAATATTTTCTTTATCGTGCCCACGTTTCGATGTTTATTGAGATCATCTTCAGGGCCTGGGATTTACAAACCTTGTTTAAATTTAACAAATACATGTAGGATGTGGCAAAAAGTGAATTTATACAATGCAAAAAATATATATTTTATATTCAATCAAAGTATTTCTACTCACTCAAAGTGTTTTTTTGTTCTGCGTAAGTGTGCCATTCTTGCGTGTCTTGTTGAGAGTGCCAGTGAGATATTGCTGTTTTATGTTTATAAAATTTTGTAAATGCAGCAATATCTAGATTGCTTGATTTTTCGCATTGTAAAAATTCACTTTTTTCCACATCGTACGTGTATTTGTTAAATTTAAGCAATGTTTGTAAATCCCAGGCCCTGAAGATGTTCTCAATAAAGATCGAAACGTTGGCACGATAAGGAAAATATTAAATATAATCAAAACTTTCGAATTTTATGGACCTTTTGAAGTGTAATTGCTACTCCTTTCTCTTCAGGAGTGAAAACAATTTAGGCAAAGCCGATATTTGCCCCGATTCCTTGTTTAATGGGCGTCTAGCTCCAACGGATAAAGTAATCGCCTCCACTTCCTTTTGACAAAATCTTCTCCAGGCAGGGGCATCCGTCATTTCGATATGATCGTTGTCGCGATGCTGTTCGGCCTGGCGGCAGCAGTGCCTCTGCAGCCCGACAACGGATACAAAAATGTGGACGAACACGGGCCTTCAGTCTCCGTCGATTCTCGCCATTTTCCGCAGGTTTGCTCGGACTTCGTCTTCAGCCCGGGCTGCATCAGGTTCTATGTGCGGCGTGTATTGCCGTTTTTGAAGATATGCCGAAAACTGCCCGGATCCGACGAGGAGCCCAAAGCGAAAAACTCGACGGAAGACGTCCCACAAGCCGAAACCATTGCTGACAATCTACGAGCCGTTACGGACTGCATTCACGCTCTACGCAAAGTCTTTGAGTTTAAACCTAATTCTTCCCCTGCGCAAAACCAGGATACAGGTAAAACAACCTTTCTAAAATCAAGAATATATTTTTACACAAGGAATTGCTTAAAAGGTTTCAGCATACGAGGTCTGAATACAGTCTTTTCTGTACAAAGAGACTTTATACTAATTATGAACAATCAATGAATCATCAACTCAGAAAAAAATGGTCTTGTTTGTTAAACTTGCGAGTTATTAATAGTTCCAAAGTATGATGAAGCAGGATCAGGAGCTTGGCAAAGGAACTGAGTATTTCAAATTGGCGTTACCGCAGAATTTGTAATACAAAATTCTAACATTGACGTAAATTAATTAATTTCATCAACTTCGATTTCTTCTCATTGAAATGTACATACATTTTGAGCTTTACCGATACGTGCAAAATGATTTTTTAAATTTGATGAATTATTAAAAAAAAAAACTTTGCTAAGTATTAGTATATTTATATATTATAGGGTAACTGTCGAGTTTCACGATGAAATTTCATGAGGTGTTTCTACTCACCACATGCAACAAAATACTTCCTATAAACTCCTGTTCAAATCTCAACGGTAAAGAAGTAATTTCAGGTTGTTTTTTTTTTCGACATAGTCCCACTAAATTGCTTATAATTTTCAGAATTAATGACTGTAGAAAAATCTGGTTTGTGCCTCCTGAAAGAACGTGAAATGTGCAATAAGAAAACTTATTTATTGCAGAATTGGTGGAAAATTCAGAAAAAACAATAATGTTGAAATTTGAAAATTTTGAAAATGTTTGATTGGTAAATCTTAATAACTAAAAATTCCTGGAGCTTTACAAATTCCCTCAAAAGTTTTCCATTCTATTAGCTTCCAGCGGTATACCCAACTGTTTGGATTGCCCTTCTGGAGGACCCAAAAATTTTGCGTTTTGTTGAAAATACTTGTGTCGATGTAGCGGGGCACGCGCCAACATTAAACAAAAAAAAATTCAAAATTTTAACATTATTCTTTTTTCTGAATTTTTCGTGCAGAACCTTTCCATCTATTCTACAATGTAAATAAGTTTTCTTCCAGCAAATTTAACGTTCGTTCTTTTAGGTGGCACACACTAGATTTTTTTACACTGAGTAATTCTGAAGTTTATGAGCAATTTAGTAGACCTAAGTCGAAAAATAAAAAACCCAAAAACTGAAATTACTTCTTTACGATTGAGATTTGAATTATAGGAAGTTTATTTTATTCCATATGGTGAGTAGAAACACCTCCTGAAATTTTCGACACATCGACAACCACCCTGTATATTCTCCCTCTTTACGAGCGATAAAATGCAAAGTGTGGTAATCTTAGTTTAAAAATATTTTTCCCCGATAGATATGTTAATAGAGGTACATTCACTTGTTATAATAGTTTTTTCTGTTCAAGTACTACGAGAGATTAAACCAATGGCAAACAAGTTAATATTAGGGAAAGTAATTTAAAATCCAAGCTACGAAATACACATGAAATTGAAATATTTGATCACTATCACACATAATTTATGGAACAAATAAATTGATTGTGACGAACTCAATTAATAACAGCGTTAGATTTTTGTGTTGGATACACAATTCGTTTGTAGGATCATTGTCGCGCCATCGATTTCGCGTTACCGGGATAAGGATAAAGGTTACGTTAGGTAATGCAGGCTTAGGGTATAATTTAAGGACTGGTTAGATAAGGCAATGGTTAGAGTTTTGGACACGAGTTAGGGTTAATGTCGAGTTAGGTTTGGTTAGGAATATTTAAGAAGGGTTAGGTTAGGTAGAGATATCGTTAAGATCATGTTAAGGTTGGTACCTCGGGTTAGGTTAGATTAAATTGGGTTAGGTAGGGTTATGGAAGATTAGGGTTGGGTTGGGTTAGGTTAGGGCAAAGGTTCGCGAGCAGTTAGGTTAGGTAGGGATATGGTTAACAACGAGTTTAGTTAGGTAGGAATAGGGTTAAGGACAAGTCTTAAGTACGGGTTATGTTTGGTTAGTTTAGATTAGATTAGGATTAGGGTTTGAGACTGGTAGGTTATATATAGTGATTTAATGGTCTTCCATGACACAACGCTACGGCGAAGCCCAAATTTTTAGAAGGTTTCTACACAAAATGGAAGAAAATATTTAAAGTATAATCAGGAAAAATCTACAATAATTCAAATTACATACAGGGTGTTCGGCTGCTCGTGTGACAAACTTTGCCCGTTGATTCTACAATTAAAATGGAACAAAAAAGTCCTAATTAACTATGGTCCGAATCTCAAAGGTTTCGGAGTTATTTCACTTTTTCTGATTTTTTAAGATTTCACGGCCTTTAATATTACTGAAAAGTACGTTAAATTTCCAATAAGATGTGTTCAATACTAAACTTGTAAACGGTGGTGAAATAAGTGTTTTAGTAGCGAGAACTTTGAAATTTTTTTTCAAAGTTGAAAATAATTACTATAGTGACTCTAAACTACTATTTCCAAACTTAGAGACTAGCAAATTTCAGAAAACATACTCCATTTAATATCCTTTTTAGTGGTTCATTTGCTTTTTTAATTACATGGTTGAAAGATGAAAAATTGATGGAGGAAAGGAAAAAAACCGTGGTTCAAACATTGATACGCTGAAAAGATTAATTAGGTGTTAATTTAAGTTTAAGTAAAGTTTAGTTGAGATTAGGACCATAGTTAATTAGGACTTTTTGGTTCTATTTTGATTGTAGAATCAACGGGCAAAGTTGGTAACACGAGTAGCCGAACACCCTGCATAAAGGAACATTATTCTTGTCTTTAAATTGCCTGCAGTAGTCAAATTTAGTAGTGTTGTAGTAAAGGATAGCTGTAACATAAACATTTTTATTAGTTATTTATTAATTAGTTTCGTTCTTATATGGATATTTCTTTTCTAAGAATAGTTACTGAAAATTATTATGCTATAGAAAAAATGTATACCTGTTAAAATTAAATATATTATTTAGAAGGGCGCAGTAAGAGAAGGCATCACCACATGATGCACATGGCATTCAGTATGGCATTCTCTTTGATGTCCCTCCTGGTCGGAAAGGCGATGAGCTTGTCTGTCATGGCACTTATGGCTGCATTGATGAACAAAAACGACCACGGTGGTGGTGGCCACCATCACAAAGATTCCGTCACTTACGACATCGTCCAACACCCTCAGGTCAATACCCAAGGTAATATAAAAAAAAGTTTTGTTTAATAAGTTTATTTTTATTTTCAGGTGCATTACGCCAATACGCACTCCCTTGAACACGTGTACGATGAAAGCAGCCATCATCCGGTTATGTACGAACAGCCCAGGATTATCAGAAGGATACACCAGAAATTTTTTTCCAAATAGATTTTTCTTCTTGAAGCTGTTTCCTTTCTAGGAAAATTGTTTTAGCAAATGCTTTTTTTATAAACTTAGGAAATGCTGATAGGAAGCACAACTTGATAAATCCACTTGCCTATCCAATCATTAAGAAAACAAGCAATTTGAGATTGCACCATTATCCCACTATTTAATAAACTCATGTATTTATTTTTATTTATTTATTTATGTTTGTAACTTATTTAAAATAAATACATTTAGAAAAACCTGCTAATAATATTTCTTGTGATGAAAAACATCGGTGACCAAAAGGTGTCATCAGACATTTCAGGAATAAAGTCGAGTCAGAGGTAAAGTTGGGTCACTCTCTGGATATCGATATTAATTATCTAGCTGAATTAAAATTAATAAAGCTGTAATATACCCAATTAAATAAATAATAACTAATTCGAATTGTATTTTTGAAAAAAAAAAAAAAAAAAACTTTTTCTGTTTTATTCACTAGTTTTAGTGGTCCGCTTGACCAATTAATATCTTTCACTTAATTACGGTTTTTGGTTGAGATAAAAAAGACAGTGTCACGAGCGGGATTCGAACCCACGATCTTCGGCTAGATACGCTGCCGCTCTACCACTTGAGCTATCGTGATCTCGATCCACTCGGACACTAACTTCCCATCTCAACCAAATTCAAAAAAGGTGGGGTTGAGATGGGAAGTTAGAGTCCGAGTGGATCGAGGTCACGATATCTCAAGTGGTAAAGCTGCGGCTATCTAGCCGAAGATCGTGGGTTCGAATCCCGCTCGTGACACTGAATTTTTTTATCTCAACTAAAAACCTTAATTAATTTTTCTGTTTTTCTGACTGAAATTCAGTCGAAACACAATTTAAAACAGCTTACTATGTCTATAAATTATTGTTCTTGTTTTCAAAGGACAATACTTTCAATTTGAAATTTGTGATCCTCGGTTATCAGGAACAATCGTTCACATCTATTCACATTTCACTTTATTGCAATAAACTTACTTTTAATGCATAATATGCAGTTTTTTATAATGTATTTGTACATTCAATTTATAATTTGTGTATTTTTTTATGAAACTACAAAAAAAAAAAATTTAAAAAAATCGTAAACGCTCTCTAATCTATTTGGCACATTTTGTTTTTAACTTATGAACTAAAGGGACCATTTTGATGATAGTCTTAAGTTAACTTATTTTAACTTTTTTCAAGCTTTTTTTGGTTAAGTTTCCTTTTAAAAGAAAAAAATTAAATATAAATAAAAAGGTGGTACAAAAACTATAACAATTAATAAATTTCTTTCGACCTTTTTGGCAAATCTATCGATCAATGGAGTTGAAAGGCTTCAAAGGCAATTCGATTGTATCAAAATTTAAAAAAAATCTTTGATGAAAAACAGACAGAAAAAAATTTTGTATCACAGAATCTGCCAATTTTCTTGAACGTAGTTTTGGTCGTAGGGCTGTTGGTAAAAGACGGTTTGCTGTTGGTAATAGGGCTGAGGTACCTCCCAGGACTGCGGCCTCGGCAGGATCGAGTTGTTCTCCTCGGTCTGCATCCTTTTCGACTTGTACCTCCTGTTCTGAAACCAAATCTTCACCTGGGTCGATGTCAGTTTGATTTCCGCGGCCATGTGCTCCCTCTCGGGGGCGGACAGGTATTTTTGCTGCATGAAACGCTGCTCCAGCTGGTGCACCTGGGCCTGCGGAAGAAACAGCCGACAGTCAACTTTGTCAATTGTAAACGGGTTGATTATAATATGCAGTAAAATTCAATTTTTGATAAAAGAAGGCTGGCGAACTAGAGTATGGTAATTAGTATAAAATTACGCAAAAATATAGATAATTTTGTGAAGTACATACATTCATCGAGTCCTTGTTTTGTTGCGCAACTGTTATCGCATCGTGTGATGCGTAAGTATGGAGCCGCATTTAGTCATAAAATAATATTACAATAATAAAGCATAACTTTCGTTACAAAAATATTGCCTATACACAAGTTTTAACTTAATTGAAAATATTTACTATACGATTTTATAATTACGATATTTGACAACCAAATACCGGAAATAAAATTATACGTTTTCAGGCTCCTGACTGGCAATCGTTCCAAATTAATCAAAGCAAAACAATAAATCTGTTAATAAACGTTCATAATAAAAAAATTTCTTCTCGACGGACTCAAGGAAAGGAAAGGGATCTCTGTCTGTCTCTGTTTCTATCTCTCTCTTTATCTCTCTCTCTCTCTCTCTCTGTCTCTGTCTCTCTGTCTCTCTCTCTCTTTTACTCACTCTCTTTCTCTGGACCTCTTTCTCATTCTTTCTCATTCAATCTTTCTTCCACTGCATTTGTTGTTGTCTGTTTCCTTCAAAATAAATAAAGAGTAAAAGAGGAATGGTATTCTTCTACTTTTTATCTATGTTTCTCTGGACTTAATCAATCTCTTGTTTCTTATTCTATCTCTCTTTCGCCCTCGGATAGTTGTAAATTAAGCCTTTCTGTATGACAAAAATTACTTTACTTGAACTCTAGTATAATTTATTATGTGCCATATGTGTAATATTTTAAGGATTTTTATATATGTTTTGTACCCTAAAGTATTACATATATGATTTTTACCACCCACACATTACACCTATGGCACACAAGAAATTATGTGCAATATTTTAGGTCACAAACCGTCTATGTGTGTGTATGTATGTATGTGTGTGTGTGTGTGTGTGTGTGTGTATGTGTGCGTGTGTGTGTGTATGAGTTTTTTCTCTCTCTCTTACTCTCTTATTCTTTTTTCCCTTTCTCTCCTCTCTCCTCTTTCTCATTCATCCTCATTCAATCTCTCTTCCACTGCATTTGTTGTCTGTGTTTCTTTCAAAATCTACCTCGCCTCTTCTACTTTTTATTTATCTCTTTATGTATTTAATCAATCTCTTCTTTCTCAGTCTATCTCTCTTTCTCTCTCGGATAGTTGAACATTAAGCCTTCATGTATGACAAAAATTACTTTATTTAAACCGAATTATAATTTATTATGTGCCATATGTATAATATTTTAGGGATTTTTATATATTTTTTGTACCCTAAAGTATTACATATATGAATTTTACCACCTACACATTACACCTATCGCACACAAGAAATTATATGTTATATTTTAGGACATAAACATTTTATTAACCGTCTACGTGAACGTGTGTGCGTGCATGCGTTCTCCCTCCTTCACTCTCTCTCTCTCTCTCTCTCTCTCTCTCTCTTTCACTCTCTCTTTTTATCTCTTTCTCTCCTCTCTCCTCTTTCTCTTTCATCCTCATTCAATCTCTCATCCACTGCATTTGTTGTTGTCTGTGTTTCTTTCAAAATCTACCTCTCCTCTTCTACTCTTTTTCTATCTATCTATGTACTTAATCAATCTCTTTTTTCTTCTTCTATATCTCTTTCTCTCTAAGGTAGGTGGACATTAAGCCATCCTGTATGACAAAAATTACTTTACTTGAACCTTATTATACTTTATTATGTGTAATATGTATATTATTTTAGGGATTTTTTATTTATTTTTATGTACCCTAAAATATTGCACATAAGATTTTTATAACATACATTACACCTGTGGCATTCAAAAAATTATAATAGGTTCCAACTATTATAATTTCTTTTGTGCCATATGTGTAACATTTTAGGACACAAACATTTTATTTACCGTCTACGTGTGTGTGCTCTCTCTCACTCTCTCTCTCTCCCCCTCCCTCCCTTCCTCCCCCTCCACCTCTCTCTCTGTCTGTCTGTCTGTCTCTCTCTCTCACACTCTCTCTCTCTCTCTCACTCTCACTCTCTCTCTTTCTCTCTCTCTCTCTCTCTCTCTCTCTCTCTCTCTCTCCATCTCTCTCTAAACTGAAAAAAGACTTTCAAAAGATTTTATTTGATTCCTTTCCCGTTAGATATCTGTAAAATTTTGATACATAACAACCAAAGTTCGGAGGTAAAATTAAAAAAAAAAATGTTAAGCACCTAGCTGAACAAACTTTTAGGCTTTGTAGAATATGCGATTTCTTCCAATTATTTATATTTGGGAGTTCGAACAAGTAAGCAAAAACCAATAGAATATTTGAAATACAACAAAAATGCCTAACGTTTATGATAAGAGTTTGGTTATTTATCCTTTTAAACTACTTAGCTCCTGGTTAATATTCTTAGGACAGAACTATTGAGGGTCTGACGGGAAAAAAATAATCAAAATCAAACGATATTTTCTGGTCTTTCCCGGTTTTTATTCAATAACTTTTGATCAATTATTTAAACCAAAATCCGGGGGTAAAATAATAAATATATTTCAGGCACCTGACTGAACAAAATCCTCGGCTTTCGTTTGTACCTCTGTTTCAGTTTGTTGGGTTCCCTTTTTTTCTCACAGTCCCTCGGCAAATCTGAAACAACACACGGCTGACGTTAGTTTACTTTTATAACTGTTAGCAAATGAAGAAATTTATCGCCTTTGGGAAAAATAATTTGGATTTTAGTAACCGCTAGTATATAACTGTCCGTAAATTATATGAATGTGACACAAAATTCTTTATTTTACTGTAAACATTTTATGTTTTCCTTTGTCAAACATTAAAACGGAACTACGCGCATAATGCATTAATTTGTCTGTTGATTCACTGTAAACTACCTATTTGAATTGTGATTCCGTTGTTTGAAGAAATTTATTGAGTCTATAAAATATATATTTATATTGTACATTCAAAAACAAAATAACCGGACACATATATTTTGTTTTTTATTTCAAACTATATGTATTGTTATCGTTATATTTATTACAGCCTACTTATTTAGATATGAACCAATTAGACAGGATTAGAAATTCATGAGTTTTAATAAAAAATATTTAATTTTGATGGTTTGAAAAAAAATTCACCAAAACACCGGGAAATCATTTAGTGACAGATTAAAATTTGCCTAACAATTTATTACCTGGTCTTGCTTTTAGTAATTCATTAATAATAGAAGATAAATAACCAAAATAAAATTACGATTAATTTGTAATCGTTTTTATTTTTTCTGTTTAAACCAAAATTGTAAAACGCAGAATAATTGAATTTGGGTTTGCATCGTCACAAATGAAATTACACGTATATTTCATTGGACCTTAAAAAATGCTCTACAAAAATTTGATTATCAAAGTATTTTCTTTTTTTAATTAACTTGCGGATTTGAAAATGAAGTTATTTTTAATGATAATGATGTTTATTCTAAAATTTTGAGACTGCTTGAAAAAGGCAAATTTAATGACAATAAATTTTCAACTGAAATTTGTATCCAATTTATTTTCATTGAAGCTAAATACTAGATAAATAACCAAAATGATGTAAAGAGAAGTTAATTTACTTTTGACTAGTGAGAATACAATAACGCTGATATTTTCTAGCACCATTAAAAAATTCTCATAATAAACCTAATTGGAGAGAACCCAAAGATGGAGTAATGATATGTGAAGGAATTTCAGACTTGAAAATTGATATTTTACCTATTTATAATGTTCCAGGCTACAAATTAAATTAATAAAACAAATAGACAAAGAATAACTAGTAACAACAGTAGCAAAGTAATCGAATTTTGGTATTTACGGTCACAAATGAAAAAAAATATTTTGTATATAATATAATAATATTGAAAGTATAAATAATATTGTTGTATAAATGATAATAATCATAAAACTTGATTACCGATACATAATACCGATAAACTTGATTGTCAAAGGTAAAGCTTGTTTTAAGAAGAACTTGCTGGGTTGACAATTGAGCTTGTTCGTGTGGTTTCTATAAAACATTGCTATTTCTTGTATTCATTAACTTTCTAAACATTGGATAGTAGATATTATTGGAAGATCTTCCTATGTTTGAATTTTATAGCTGTTTGTGTTCATCCATTACACAATTTAACGTAGACTTTACAAATGAGTAAAATTTTGATGAAAAATGCATAGGTAACGGATAAAATACTTATTTATGTGACAGGTTTTTGCTGAAATTTTTTTCCCCGAAGGGTGAGAAAACTCATTTTCGCGACATTGCAATCCGTTTGCAGACTAAAATCACCCAATGGCTTTACATCTCTCTCAGTGAACCCTCTGTACAATATTTTTATAGCTGTTTTTTTAGCAAATACTGAACCTCACATAATGTTTTGAATGTTTTCGGCCGAAGGAATTATTTTATGCTTATAATATTAAAACACTTTCTTTGAAAAAAGAAGCGTTCTAATTTGAGTGATATTTATTATTGTAAAAATGAATTTTAAAATAAGTTCTAATCAAAAAAATAAATACACTGCCCATAAAAAGTATCGACCACCTGGTTTTTGCAGAAAAAATGGCCAAATTTGGAAATGCATATTTTCTGTGCCTTGTAAGTCACAGACTTGCGGCTAAGTATAATTTTTTAGAAAATTAGTAAATCGGGGGAGAGAGTGATCGGTTTGTTGCATGAGCGCGTAAAAATCACGTTTTACCCCAAAAATCTCGAATAACTCGAAAACGGTCGTGAAATCGGGACGTGGGACGGAAATGTGGAAGGTGACCAATTGAAAGTTTATTAAAATTTCCCATCGATTGCTATAGAGCGCCCTCCTAAGACGACTTTGTAGCTCCACAGCTCAATTTGAAGTTTTCGTAAAAAGTGCAAAAATTAACATGTTTTTCGAATGTTTGAATTTACTGATGAATGACTGAGGCTAGTAAAATATTTTAAAAAGCCAACGTGGTCAGCGTAAAATGATCAACAAAATGAGACCTAGCGCATGTCTGTGACATAAAAGGCTGAGAAAATTGGACTTTTTCTGCAAAAATCAGGTGGTCGATTTACAGTGTACAATAATGTAACTTTGAAGTATTTGATGATGTGGAATTTAGTCAAATAGCTTTTTGTATTTGTTTATGCGGAAAAAATAAAACAAATACAAAACAAACTGAATTGTTATATTTTAAGTTTGATATGTTAATAAATAAGAAATTATTTTGTACGTAAGAATAATAATATTAATAATAATAAGAAGAAGAAGTTTCAATATTTAGTATCTCAACCCTTGATCACTTTTATACATTGATTTTTTTATATGTTTTATGTGCTTGTATTTTACTGTTTATCCACGCTTGCTTTTTCATTTAGTAAAAAATGTGAACCTAAATCGTGTAGGTTTTTATTTTTAAATTTAATTTAAACGATCAAACTTTATATAAACTTCTGTCTAGACTGTAAAGAAATTTACTACAAAATTATCAGATGCAATGTAATATTGTCGGTGTAATTAACTAAAATGAACGATTTTTCTTCTAAATTGGTTGAATTTATCGAGGGAAATAGTTTTATATTTTTTTACCCATACATGTCATAATAACTTTGTTTTTTTTTATGTAAATATGTTCTACAAGTGTAGGTGTGATTTATAGGCAATTAATAAATAAAATGATATTATATATGTTAGAAAAGTCATATTGTCATTTAATATGATCTGGAACCACAATCAATTTTAAGCGTTGGATCCGGTTCATATAAGATTCAACTAAACTTAGCAAATGGTGCAAGTGTTATTTCCTAGGTATCGGACATTTCTATCCTGCAAAATGTGTTAAGTGGTGACATAATGTTATGATGTATGAAGAATATATCTTGGCCACAAACAAGCTTAATTTCGCAGTAACCTCTACTTTGATAACCAGAAGAGTAACGAAGACAAGTGTTTGCCCACCTGGTAAAAGCGTTTTACGGTGAGTTGATATGGATTCAAATAACATTTCTTACAATTTTGTACAAAAAAACTAATTAGATGAAAGCACGCAGGTTTAAGATTTATATGAATGCTTTTTTAAATGATAGATTCGACATCTTGATTATAAAAGCATTCAGAGGTCTTGTTTTGACGTTAAGCATTACTTTTGATGAAACTCTTACTTGTGTTGTGTTTGACGGATTCTTTGCAAGGTACGCTTAGGTTGCTGAGTTGTTGGACGTGATGGGACGTCATGCCGTTGAGACCGGGCTGGAAGTTGTGCTGCAGACGCAGTTCCAATCCATCGGCCTCCAGGTCGATCTGGGGCACATACTCCTCGATGCCGATATCCTCGAGCCCGAACGGTTCCTCCGACGTCGGAAGATTCAGGATGTCTTTGACGGAAAACGGCGTGTTCAAGGGCGGCTGGGAGTAGTCGTAGTACTGAGAGAGCATAATAGTCATGGGATCGCCAGGCAACGTTTCGGCCGTCTGCGGCGTCCGCTGATGAAAAGCCATCCCTCCGCCCCCACCACGTACATCCAAGGCGCCCTTCTGCCCACAGACTCCGGCCCCAATTTAAAAACACTTCCATGTACCTTTCAGAAAATTCACATAACACTGATTTTTTTTTCTACCCATAACCATTCATCTTCCCTCGTAGAAGAAAAAACTCCCCACCCATTATAAAACATGTGTACCTATCAAAGAACTATCTAGGAAGTCCAACAAGAGGCGGTTTTTTCAAATTTCAATATTTCTAGATGGTTTAAGAAATGACTTTTGCCAAATTCATTCGTTACAGATGACAACGATTTTATCAAATTCACTGTAAAGCTTTGAACTTGACTTACAAGTCCCCGGCACAATAAAATAAATATAGTAATTGAAAAATGCCTGTATTGAATGAAATAAAAGCCAATGTTTATGGCAAAATTAAGATTATTACTGAAAATTTAATGAGTAATTTCATTGTCGATAATCCAATTCCACTATAGAATTTTCTCCACAAACAAGTTGTAGATAAGTGAAATTGATTAACCGTTAATTTTGCTGAAATTGTTATCCTCCAGCTTTATTTTACTGTAATGTAATAAGTTTAAGAAATAGAAAACGTCTTGTATCGATTGATAATTGTATTTTGATACACATTACATTTTGATTGTATGATCTGGGAGGGTATTAGAAACAAGACACTTAATTTCTTCGTCTTTCGGAAATATATCTTTTTTATTAGGACTATAAAATCATAATTACTATTTAAAATGTGGAATATGAACATATATTTACAATTATTTCAATTAACTATTCTTTTAACGTAAGTTCTTGGTTGAGATGAAAAATTTAGTGTTTTAAATTTAAAATTTATTTAAATTTAAATTTAGTGTGTGTCGACTGGGTTCGAATCCTGCTCATGATACTAAATTGTTCATCTCAACCAAGACCTTACATTAAAAGAATAATTAATTGAAATAATTAATATGGTCAATGTTGAAACATTTATTCAACTACAGGGTAATTAAAAATTAAAATTAAATAGAAGACGGTCAAACTTGGCATAGTACATTCTTACTATTTTATTTACAAAGGGGAGACTAAGAAACTTTTTGGTGAGACTAGGTCGATTATGATCAAAATAAGTCTTTTTAAATGGAGAAAGATTCAAAAATCAAGTTCAAAAAACCGTACACTCGTATTTCGTTGTTTATTTCAAACTATATGTATTTTTATCATTATATTAACTACAGCAAACTTATTGTAATGTAAAACAAATTTTTAACGAGGGTATTTCAATCACGAGGTTATATGAACCCTCGGGGTAGCGGTTAGGAAAAAAAAAGTATGTCGGCCAGTAGCCGCAGATTCGAACCCGGGACCTTTACCTTACAGTGATGAACGTCGTGTCAACGCCTAAACCGATGCGGCCACCGACGCCCCGTAAAACAAATTAAACCCGATTAGAAATTCATGAGTTTTTATACAAAATATTTACTTATGACGGTTTGAAAGTAAATTGTCCAAAACACCCGAAAATCATTTATTGATGGATTAAAATTAACCTATTGATCACCGAGCTTTGCTCTTATAAACGCGTATTACCGCCTCTGGCCTGGAGGAGGACCTTAATACCTCCCAGGCATCGGGTAACTAAGCGATCGGATTTCGTCCTCTAATCGAATCCCATTCTTCAGCAAGCTGTTCAATATTTTTGGAGGGGTCGATCTTACCCGTCTCTTTATCATGTCCCATAAGTTCTAATCATGCCATGAGAACGTACTGGCCGATTCATTGTCGTCACATCTTTCAACTCGAGCTACATGCGGACGAGCATTATGATGAATTAACAAATTTGTCCTCAATAAATGAGGCCACTGCTTCCAGAAGAACTTCCTCAATGCCCCTTGATGCTGACAAAAATCCCTTCTGTATGATGGTTCGGTACGAGCATGGACGTTGATTCCACCCCACCGTAACAGACTGTCTTCGAAAAAGCTGTGACTCGACGCATGGCACATGAAGCAAAGCTTTCTACACACACGGTGACGGTCATCTGATTGCCACAAAGTACAAACCAAACCGGCACTCATCTGTAGTCACCCCCCCCCCTTTTTCAAGTGTCCAAGCGAGATGCTGATTTTCGAAATTGCCTTTCTACCATGTCTCTCCGGTAGAGCCGTGGTGGATAATATACTGTGCCAATTGAGAGCTGTTGTATCCCCCGTTCTGTGCTTATAGCACACCGGTGAGTCCTATTTCATCAAGAAACTTGATCAGCAGGCACGGTTTCTGCGGTTGCATTTCTCCAACGGTTACATTGTACATCCACGCTTCCTCCTGCGGGGGGTAGAAGTTTGTCAGTAGGTATGTCGTGTCTTTTCTTTCCAGAATCTGCACTTGCCGTGTTGGTTTATGCCAATCTTTTTCAGATGTCCATTTAGTTCGCAGTGTCCTGTTTACAATCCCGTTAGGATTCACAATTGTTCCCTGCTTCCTTTAATGCATTCTGTAAGCCATTTCTTTGTAAAGTATGTTAGAAGGTTCTTGGATTGTTTATCCAACGAGCGAGTCCCATTCCCTAGTTTTCTTTTATTTTTCTGTCTAAGGTGTTTATCGATAGTGTGGATTCCTTTGCCAAAGAAGGGCTCGGGTCCTATCAACGATATAGCAGACCCATTTCGAAAGGGCGTCCGCTTTCTCCTTGCCTTCTACTCCTACATGTTTTGGGGCCCAGCAGAGGGTGACTTTGTTTTGCATTATTAATCTGTTTATTTTAGTTTTGCAATTCAGCACCATCTTTGAGCTAATGAAGTTTGAACTTAGGGTTTTGTTGGCTGCTTGGATATCTGACATGACAGCTATATTCTTGTTTTTGTACCATTTATGCAGATTGAATTGGGTTAGATCTCTCGATTGCGTTGACCTCAGCTTGGAAGATATTGGTGCATATTCTATTGGGTTCCACGACCGAATACCCCTGCCTCCTTTCTAGGTCCGTCTGTGTACCAGTATATGAGCCATTCTTAACAGAGGTCTTTTGCTTCTCCAGGAAGAGAGGACATGTTGCGTGACCTCTAGAGACTAGGTTATTCTCACGAAGCCTTCAAATAAAACAGTTTAAATAAATCAATTAACACACTCAACAAGTTGGCTCTAATGAAGGATGAAGGATGAAATTCTTCTTTTATTTTATTTTTATCTAAGGAAGGTAAAATGATTATTAATACTCTACAAAGGTTACAACAGAAAGTTATTAATTCTGTGTTTAAGTTTTAAGACAGCTATTAATCTTTATACCTAATTATTATGGAAAATAAATAAATTCACTAGTTTTCGTGGTTCACTTGACCAATTAAAATTTTCAATTAATTAAAAATGGCAAAAAGGAGGGAAAATTCAAAAGGTGGGGTTGAGATGGGAAGGTGGTGTCCGTGTGGATCGAAGTCACGATAGCTCAAGTGGTAGAGCAGCGGCTTAATTGAAAAATAAATAAAGTTGAGTCTGGCTTTTTGTCTTTGAGTGTATATTTTAACCTATTTGCTGTTCGATTTTTATCATAAATCGGTGATCCTAGGTCCGTAGCCTCCCCTAGACATACAAGTAAGTGACTTTGACGGTTCATCGTGCAAATATTATTAAACTTCAAATTCACTGTGATAACAAGTCTTTTGAATTAGAAAAATATCGTAATTGATTTAAAGAAAACCTTATTTTTACGAAAAAAGAGATATTATTTACGAAACTTTAATAAATAACTTAATTATCATTTATCTAATTCTTCTCAAAACAATTGGTCGATAAAAACTAAATGTTAGGTCATTCAAAGAGACCCTACAAAACTACTGGAAACGGTCAAATAATGTACCAACCACTCAATTTCTTACCTCCAAAGAATGACTCAAAGATTCGTCAAAGAATGCTTGTTAATGATGATCTAGATAAGCATGTGTTGTGAATTTTGGATTTTATGCTAAGTCTGTCAATTTTTATGTTAACATAAGACTGCAATGTTATTCTTACCGTTGTAGATTAAAATTTGGTATTTAATGACTTTTTGATTTGGGTGCACATGACCAATAACGTTTTTTGGTATGAAGTAGTAGAAGACATAAAAAATAATCAAACGATGATTGAAATATATCGTTGGGGAATAGGCATGATCGTTTTTAACATAAACTTAAAAAACTTCTTCATACTTCAAAGATGGGGTCAAATAAATAAATGATAAACTTTGTTGTAAGGTGGGGCCAAAAAGTTTCACTGCGTTGTCTGATTGGTTGATTTTTAATATCTGATACACTGATGATCTGATTGTTCATATTAATTGTTTTAAATGTGTTCTTTAGTGCGTAATTCACTTATAGATTAGATGTTTCCTATATTTGCGATCTGCCTGTCTTCGCTGAAACCCCATCACTGAACCAAATCAGTGAGGAAAGGCAGAACAAAATCAGTAACGACCAAATTACAAATTGATGAGTTGTTAGAGAACCTATAAAAAGGTAATCAAGTAACGACTTAACGACAAATTATTGTCTAATTATCAACTCAAAGCTTTTTTCTGTATAGTCATTTTTACAACGACAATAAATTGTATAGAAATGTAATTCTCACGCTGTCATCTGTTCTAAAATAAACAATTAAAACTTATAGACATGATTTTAAATGTTAATCAAAGATGGCAGGTCTTCGTATCGGAATGGTATGACGCCGAAATCAAAGATCGGCCCTATCCCTGCAGAATGTTTCTGTCTTTATTTTGTTTACTTTATGTTCGCCTTGTTGACTTTCCGATCCCCCTTCGGTTTTTCCTTTCGTCCTTTCCGAGACGGCTAAATGGCCTCTAAGTCTTCTTCCCCTCCCTTTAAATTTCAAGTGCCTGTTATTATAACCGTTAGATAGGCCGACAAGTGTGTGTTTATTGTTAAAACAATCCACAAGTGCTTCTATCCCCCGGCGGTAACATTGAAAACCTCCACGTCTAGGGCGCTGGACCCTTCGATAATTAATACCCAACACTATTGTAATAATATTACCCCTAAAATAAAAGAAGGGTTTCTC